ACATCTCCATTTGCGTAAGACTGTGTCTTGTCATTCTGGCTGTATGCTCTATTATCAGCATTTCATGATTGTCTCAGTGTTTTTTCCCCCCTAATTAGTAGTAGTAATGCCAAAAGCGGTTGCGAATGTTGATGCTGGCCTGTGGCCATTCATGATCAATACTTGGCACAGACATTTTATGAGACCATTCCCCTTTCTCTCTACAACATGTATCAGCTGTTCATCTCCTGCTTTTTTGACAAGTCACCTTGCCCTTCCTCCACCATTCGTGGTTTGCTCTCCCCAATTTCCCCAATTTCATTGCTCAAACATTTGGGACATTGGGGTTGACCTTCAAATCATTCCCAAGGTATCCTGTAATGGAGAATATTGACTGCACTTTTGAAGGCAGGTTCTGCATATCCAGCACTTTCTGCTTCTGTGGCCTGACCATGAAAATCGTTAACAAGCTGTAGTGTTTGAAGGTTAGGTCAGCTAACTGGAAAATAACCAAGACCAGACCGGACCTAACTGCAAAAAGACCGGACTGCGTTAGTGGTTAGTCAATTCTGAAAATGAAATAACCAGTTATTTTGCAGTTAACTAACTGTTAAAAAACCAGTTATAACCAGTTACAACCGACCCTATTATACCCCTTCAAAACACATCTAAAAGCATGAGAAACACTAAAAGTCTGACAGAGTTATGGTCAAATCTTTAAAATATTGGCGAAAAGGGTAGACTTTCAAGAATATTATCATAAAATCGTCAATTCTTCACCAAATTTAGCATTCTTGGGCTTGTTTTAAAGCTGCAATGCATGGTAATAATGTTTACTGCAGGAAATTGAGAAATATATGCTGTTTTAATCGATTTTCTATTCTTTCGGTCCTAACTGGTTAGTAACTGCAACTAACTGGTTATGGGCAGTTATCTTCAGTCCAGTTAGGTTATTTTGGGTCTGGGAACGAACCCTAACTGGTCTCGGTCTCGGTTAGAGCCCCTGGGCACCCAATAACCTAACCTAACCAGACTTTTAAACACTAACAAGCTGGGAGAATTGCAGAAGGAAGTGTTTCTTACCAACATTGCAAGCGGAAATATGAGGAGACACATGGGTGTTGCAGTGAAATATGATGAAAAAGCTATAACAGAGACCTGTAAGCCTTTTTTTCAACTCAGCTCTTGTCATTGGATCATGAACACTGAAGTGCTGCCTTATCCACAGCCCCCCTCTCCCCTGTCCCTTTGCAGTTTGGTACATCCCAAGTTTCTTGGGAAACCTCTTAATGACTATGCTCTTTTCTGTTATGGATCCATCACTTGTCCTCATGCATGCAAGGGGGTGGCAGAACATGGAAAATGTACCAACACTCCCTATTTTTCTTTCATGGATTTGGCTGACCTCCCTCCCCCTGCTACTATATAAGGTATGTTTTTCTGAGTTCTGATGTTTTTTTAATTTTTTTCTTTTGTCACATGGTCCCAGCTTCTAGGAAAGCTGGTCTGCAGCCTGCCAGTCACTGGAAACTCACAAACCTTCAACTCAAAGTTAAAAATGCTTTGCATACAAATCTTGGCATGGAGGAACATAGATTATGTCAAGAAAGCAGTGAGTTTTACAAACTGGCAAAAGCATATTTCCATGTGAAAATGTGACATAGAAAAACTCATTCAAACAAATTTATGTTCAGCTCAGCCATGGTGTACAAAGCGGCTTTGTCTCCCCTTTTGTCAACAAGAGCCTTTATGTAGTAAATTCTTTCTCTCATAAGGAGTTCGTTTGGAGCTTCGAGTATGGCCTGAACACAATTTTGGTGAGTAAAATTGGAGTAAAATGTCTGTAAGGAAAAAAGAAAGTTCCTGCACTCCACCTCATCCTCTATACTTATGTGCAACCCATCACGGCATCCATGGGCATTCTGATGGCCTACACTCCCTTCACCATTGCAGACATCATAAGTACCTGCCTGGCTCTCAAACAGATGCTTTTATTCTGTTGCTTGGGCAATCTGCAACAAAAATAGACCAGGTCACTATTTTTTTTCAGCCTTCCACCAGACCCCCCTCCCTCCCAGCCAGTGTTCGGGATCCATGTTCCACCACCCCCTTGCATGCATGCGAGCTTTACATCAGTCTTTTACAATGCTGTGTTGACTCTTGAGGATCACTGGGACATCATCATCAATAGCATTGAGAGAGGAGCAATCCCTAATGTCTATGATCTTGACTATTGCAGACAATTTTTAGATGTTTGAAACCCATTTTCCTTTTTATGTTCGACTTGATATTGACATGCATTGGACAGGCTTGAATCAAGCCAAATCCACACGACATGGGAGAGCTCCAGTCAATACAAAAATGGATGGGGGGATGGTTGAAGCAGAACACAATGTCTTTTATGCTGAATCAATGACAAGGTTGAGCACAGTGGTTATCAGGGAAGTACCAGCCTCTATGGCATCACATCGTCGCTATGAGTTCTAGGTTTGGGAGCCAGGTGGTTATGAGTGAGGTATCCCTTCTTGCAGTGTTTTTGAGAGATTGAGTGAGGTATCCCTAGTGTTTAAAGGTTCAGTCCATAGGACTGCAAAAAACCGGTGGACCGAACTGAACCGGACCATGGACCGGTCTTTTTTTCGGTTGCAGTTGCCCCAATTTGGGGTTGGTCCGGTTGCCGGTTGCCTCATTTCAAAAATCTTTTAAAACTGTTCAAAGACCGGTTTTAATCGGTTGCAACCGGTTAAACGGTCACATGCGTTACATAGCCTTGTAACCACGTTTATTGCCTTTTATTGGGTTTTTGTTTCATCAAAAATGGTTAAGAATTGAGAAAGATATAACCAAATCCATATTTTACCTGAGTCTCTAGGAGATGTAATTCAGTTTCAGTCATAGCTATGTCAAATCTTCATTAAATCTCTTGAAAATTGGTAGAATGACGGGTATTTATATGCTTTACTATTTTATATAACCCGTTTATTTTTCAGAGTAATAATGGTTGAGATACAAATGGTTTATATTGGTATAATAAATTATACGCAAAAAAACTGGTCTGGATCGGTCTGAACCGGTATCATGGACTGCAAAAGACCAGTCCTAGGTGGTTCGGTTCGGTTCCCTCAATATCTGGGTCGGTCCTGGACCGGTTGCGGTCCACGGTTGCGCGTTTTCAGGGCAAAAAACCGGACTGAACTGAACCTTTAAACACTAGGTATCCCTTCTTGCAGTGTTTTTGAGAGGCTGATTGAGAGTGTGCTCTCAATTGAGACATCCACAGTAAACAGCAACTTGTTCACCATGCACAGAGTCATCAAGGCCAAGTTGGATGCCAGCATGGATTAAGGCTGGCCAACCTTACTGGGATGCATGCAAAGGCAGGAATATATTGAATGAAAGGTGGGATGGAACTAGCCTGGATCCAAGGTGTTAAGGGAGGTTGACCATCATAAGTGGGGTTGACCCTCTTGGTTCCACAACATTGCAAAGACCACTCAAGCCCTCTGGTGATAAGTATGAAATGAATCTTGGAGCACAGAAGACTGGTTGCCAAAAAGAGACAGATGTCTGACCACCCCAGCGGTACACTGTTGTTTCAACAGACAGTGTTTTTGGTATCCAACATTTTGCACGACTTTCAGGGGTCCTCTGTCATGGCTCAAAATAGCCTTGAAGTCACAGGAACGACAACACCTCCCTGATCATGGATATGCTGATGCCAGTCCTGGTACTGGGCAGGCACCAAGTTGAAGTTATTCAACAATCATTGACAAGATCTGGAGAGAGAATATATCAAATGTAGAAATCTGTCAAATACAATATCAAAGATTGTTGAAGATCATTCATTATTCCTTTATAGATGCAAGTTGCAAAGAAAGTAAAAAAAGCCAGAGAAAGTCAGAAAAAGTCAGAGAAAGTTGGAGAAAGTCAGAAAAAGTAAGAGAAAGCAAAGATTGTTGACATTTGTCAATTTTATGCAAGAAAGTGGAAGAAACTTGGACATTGTTGAAGTTGAAAGATAGTTATAGATTGTCAACAATTGTTACCAAAAAAAAACGTAACTTCATTGACAATTGTTCAAAAATGTTGAAAATCTTTGACAAAAGCTGAAGATTGTCAAAGATTGTTAACAATCATTGACTTTTGTCAACAATATTCCTTGAAAATTGGGTTCCTCTCAAAAAAAAACAGTTTTGTCCACAGACGGCCTTCATATGGAACTCTAGAATTTATGATGCGACATTCATTTCATAGTGACAAGGTGGGTCATCGGACCGCCCGCGGGCATCCGTGATAAGATCTCCATGTCAATCGATATGGTGCTCCGTTCACGTGCGCGCCTAATTGGTATGCGAATATCAATGGCAAATTTATCTTTCTTTTTCTGAAGTTTTGGAGTTGTGATTAACTTGGCGATGTCGATGACGGGTGATAAGATTGAGATACGATGATGAGTCTCCGAATTTCAGATAACATCTGGATGACAGCGGGCGGGTTTGAATATCCTCAGGGTGGTGAGTCGGTTTGGTTTACTACCGAAAAAGGCAGAGAATTCGCCGCCGGAGCAGGTGAGGGGGACAACACGCGCAATAGCCGTGACTTTCTTCAGCGTCCAGCTCTACGATAATGAATCAAAGACCCAAAGAGATTACTTACCTCGTATTTTTATCCCAGAAAGCATGATCATTTGTTATTGCTCACGATTGCCTGCGCGGTGAATAAGTTCAAGGCTCTTCTGGGTAAAGATCAGAAAAAGGAATGAAAATACATTGCGATATATATTCAGCTTGACAAAGGACGGGAGAATATTAAAATGATGGGCTAATCATGACGAGCACGAGTCCGGATCCAGCTCAGGTCTTGATAACGATAGCATGGGAGACAGGTGCGTCTTGTTATCTTTGTGCGTACTTACAACGTTGCTTCTGCAAGGCGTTGTCCCTCTCACACGCGCATGACGGTCCGCCAAAGGTTTCCACTTTCAGACGCGCTTGGGTTGTGAATACCAGTTGGAACTATAAAATTAATACAGGGCCGCTGGAGCAGTGATACTATGAATAATGATTAGACGCCAATTGCCCTGACTTAATTGTCTTCCTCCCAGGCCCCAACCCTACCTGGGACGAGAGCAGATATGCGCACTAGACGTGTGTCCTCAGAGTATAATTAAAAACTCGGGCATACCAATATCTCTGACGCACCTGACATGTTACTGAGCGAAGAGGCTTTCCGCCGCTTTTCCCTGCTCCGATGCACAAATTACAATTTGATTACAATGAGAAAAAAAATGGGAACTTTAGTGTGTTAATCTGAAAAGCGCTGGAAAAAGAAAGAAGTGATGGCGTAGTAGAGAACACCAGGATGTAATGTATTTTAGAAAGGGAGAAACAAAAGGACAATTCACAATCAAATCTATAAAGGAATTCTCATTTCTCTCTCAGAAGAGGCGCCATCGCGCTCACGCCATTGTTGAGTGAGGGGTACAGCTGTACAGCTTGGAATGATAGAATCATGTTAGAGAACGGAAGAATGATTTGCCTTAAGTTAGAAATAGCCACCATCTGCTACCATCGGATAGAATCATGCGCCGACAGACACAGGCCGTTCCTCGGAACGGATACAGTTTCAATCTTTCCACGCCGACAAATGAGCGGATAGGGATGTCGTGGAGGTTGCTGAAAACCACAAATGCCCCGGGGATTCGATAGAAACGCGCAACTTCAGGTATACTGGTGACTCGTTCGTCAAATAATATTTTTCTTGGGCTCCGAGGCCATAAAATGAATCGACGAGCCCTTGTCAATGATATCTCTCTGAGAAGGCCTAATAATTACCATCGGTCCCACAACCGAGGAACGGGATTTTTTAGAACGAATCGAAGCCAGAAAACAACGGAAGAACATTTTATAATCCGCTTCCGCGTATATGTCCAAATTAAAACAGCGCAGTAAGTCGCGCGAACGTCGCGTACACTTTGACAATCCCGAGGAACAGGGACGGCAAGCGAACACTCACGAAGACTCCCTTCGAATTTCGTAAAAACCGCAGTCCGCAGTAGATTTTCTCTGGAGTGGAATACACCGGAGAGGGGAGGACTATACTTGTCCGAGGACGGCCTATGGATCAGTAAGTTTAGTGTTCCTTGACGAACCTCGCTGCGGTCTCTGTAACCAAATCCGAGTACCGTACCCTTTCTTTTTTGTGTCAATTCGGGTCAGTCATAATGTTGAAAGTGCGTGTAAGTACTCACTCCTACACACATCAAGGTTCCAACTTCCAAGTGTAAAAGCACGTCACCCACAACTGCGTCCGTGAATCAAAATGTGACTTGGCGCATGCATATAGCCCCGGCACTCAATCGTGAACGTGCTTGTAGGTTGAGGATGATAACCCGCGGAACCTGCGGAGAATTCTCGGTCAGAGGAGGTTGTAGAGCGTTATGAGTGTCCTGTTTACGGTGTTGTCTCACCAAGTAGTGGTGGTCTATTTGCCAGCGCTTATGGATCCATAACGGCGCCTCCGAGCAATTCGTGTGAATGCAGTGTGCGGCATGCACCCCCAGGCCTCTGTTTTGGGGGGTTGTTCGTTGCGGTCATGCCCCTACCTCGAGCTCAAGAGCTCAAAAGTTCCTGCCTGACATTCTTCCAAAACTGTCAAAGCACGATCATACCAGCGTTCCCTCAAAACACCTCACGCATGAAAATTCGATTGTTGTAATAATAACATCTCATGAATTGCGAGAGGTTCGTGCGCAACCCTCGAAAAAAAAAAATCCGTCATGCTTGCGCCTCCGAGACGCATTCCGTCATGCGCTTCGAAGAGGGACCCGTCATCGCATCCTAACCCACGTGCGTCAGCGTCAACCACGGGGCCGAGGCCTAAGCCTTGCCTAAGTTAAAGCCTGTAAGGAATCTGATGCTCCTAGTCCGCGCACTCCAATTCCTATCGTGCTTTGCTTCAAGACACCACAGTCATAAATTACGGCGCGTGCACTGAAGGTCGTGTGCACTCCCTGAAATCAATTAGGCTCCGTTACTTCAAATGTGCCTCAACGCATTCCGTTAGCGCCACGACCACGACGCACGGGGTAAAACTATTCAGAAACCCCCCTTTCTGGTAGAAACCCGGGGTTTCCGAGGGGGTTTCGAGAAACCCCTGGCATATGGTCAAATTGAGTTCTCGATGACCGGTGATGGTCGCCGGCCGCGGCTATTAGTCAACGCCAAGTCAACGCTACAGCGAATTCACTCCAATTGTCCACTGTTACCTCGCCCCTCATGTTATCGTAGAGGACATGAGCCGAATGTGACAGAACAAATGTCTGTCGCTACGCCATTGGTCAATGATAACAAATGTTGTCGTGGCGGACAAAGGCTATTTGTCGGGCGCAGAGACTCAACTCAATCAAACAGTCGAGGAGTGAATCTTTGATAGATGAATGATATTAAATTATGGTAACGGATACACGGGCAGCAATAAATCTGAGTGTCGACGTGCGCGACGAATCGAAGATGCGGAGAAGAAATAGATAAAATAAAATACAACCTGGGGACATGTAGATGACAAAACAATCACATCAATGCTCCAAAACGGTATAGCGTACGCCCCGAACGTTTCAAGGCATATGCAACGTCGAGACTCGAGTGCCATGACTATCTTCTGCTCAGCGTGCTCTGTGTACATTACTGAGTCGCGAATAACCTTGGAATGATGGGTCAGAGACACGATGAAGGCGACAAGTGAGGTGACCCACATTTTCAAGGAATATTTTCTAAACACCGGACGTCTCCTCGTAGATGAGACCAGAGATACCCTTCACGCCAACAGCCCAGACGCTGAAAGCCCGTCTCCACTATTCCATAATACACGATGTACGCCAACCTCTCGTGGCCATGCGCCCGTACCAGAAGGATTAGCCGCTAGCGTTGACGTTGGAGGTACCAGCTTTTGATTAGTTGTTCACTGCTCGGGTGACTGTTGGCCTGTTGAGATTTTCCTGTGGTTGTAGTTAGAGATACAGATCAAATATTAAAGGGTCATCTTGGTTGTATGCTGCTTACTTGGGAAATGAATCTATCTAGCATGGAAAACTCTTTTGTGTTACGACTGTAGTCCATTTGATAAAGTTTATGCACGAAGAGGGGCTGTTGGAGGACACCAGTTCAAGTAGCCTCGATGAATAGATGTAATGACGAAATATACCACAGAGTCACCCCTACGGCACTACGGGTTGATCTCAGCATGTTCGTCGTAGAACAGGATCCGTCAGCAGCGCTTGGGCCAACCGCCAGCGGGGATGATACTGACACGCGTGGACACTCCATCACAACAACTAGCCTCCCTCGTTCTGTTTCAGGCAAAAACTTGGATTAGGAACGCACCCACACCGGACCTTGAGGCTCCAGCGAGCAAGACGACAAAAAGCGATTCCACAGGCCAGCGTTCCTTCATTGATTTCGCCCGAATTCATCCTGATTTGCTTGACGAGCCCGGGAAATACGTGCCAGGGTCATTGTCGAGTAGGTTGAAAGTCTGAGACCTCGCGCGCTTCAACCCCAAACGATGAATTCCTACTTGTCCGCCGTTCGTTCGGGTTTGTTATACCTACGGCAGCCAGTGAGTAGATGGGAGGATGATAGTGATGAAGACACGTACTGGGAGTTAGCACGAAGCATTTTTCACGTAGAGTGAGGTAGAGTGGGTTGAGGAGGCTGGTTGAGCAGCATCTGACTCACAGAGCGTGTGGCATCACATGACGCCGTGGCCGGCGAACCCATCAAAATTTCGGGGAGAGTTTGTTCGACTATACTATACAGGGTTTCTGGATAAGGTTATGCCAGAAACGGGGGTTTCTGAATAGTTTTACCCCGACGCACGAGTTCGCGCCTCCGTGACCGCCTACTAGTATTCAACGCACGTGTGTACGCAATTTGGGGGTTCTCCGCATCGTGCCTCAGTCTTTGTGAGGGAGGAAAGGGACGTTCTGGTTTGGAGGGTGTGTGTATTTTGCATTTTTTTTGGGAATGGTTGTAACTTACCTTGTACTACTTGGTCGATTTCGGATTGGCGCTCACCATGGGGTCTCTCCCAATATGTCCCATACGGTTGGAGTGCTTGGTTTGAGTCCGAGGGGAGGAGTGAGGAAAGGGATGGTCTGGAGGGCAGTGTGCGTATCTTGCATTTTTGGGAACGGCTGTAACTTGTACTGTCGATTTCGGATTGGCGCTCAGCGCTCACCGGTCACCGTGGGGTCCCTCCCGATATGTCGCATTCGGTTGGAGTGCTAACGACACGGCCCGAGTGTACCAGTATGATCATGAATTTCTAAATTCCAACTATCGTAAGTCAACCAGTCACGCTGGTAAGTAGTCTCCACACCTTAACCATCACCAAAATGCTCACCGGTCACCATGGGGGTCACTCCCGATATATCCCATTCGGTTGGAGTGCTTGATTTGAGTAACGAAACGCCTCAACTAAGTTCAAGGGAGGTGTACGGCTATGATCATGAATTTCGGGATTGGTTGTAAATTCCTAGTATCGTAAGTCACGTTGGTGAGTAGTTTAGAAGGTTTGAATCCTCCCGATAGCACGGGACAATTCATGTGCTAGGCTGGATGCGTAAGTCAATTATCAACCAAGTATCACCAGTTCAAGTTGGTACGCAAAACTCAGCATCATAAAATCCTCCTAGGATATATGTTTCCGTTTGCCAGGTTCGACGACTCGGACATACCAAGAGGTTTGGTAGAGCTCGTAGATCTTGACCCGCTGACCTAGCGCCGCGCCAGACATGAATATTTGAATACCCACGCATTATCATCGCGAGTTTGGCAGATGAGGTGCGAAACTTCACGTGACAAGCTCACAAAAAAACCCATGTTGAAGTTGACTCAAGAGTTGCTCTACTTTGAGGTTTACTACGACATAGGTCCGCTAAATATCCTACAAGGCCCAATCATGCCCACTGGTGACTGAATTCAAGGTCCACCTCCAAGAGATGCGAGTTGAACCAGTACAAAAGTGGAAACATGGAGGGGTGATCGATACTCGGGACGGATCCAATCCAGGTTTGCGGTGTACTACTGGTTGTTGAGGTACGTACACCCGTTGCTCCTTTCAGGTCTGGGGTACAGGTGTACCCCCGCGTTTTCGATTATTTATTGAACACACAGGTTTAGTGTGCCAGCCGCAACCAATAATCTCAAGGCTCAAGCAAGCCAACTTGAACCCGCAAGGCCAACAACATGCGATCGTCGGCCTGGCCTGACTTTGCACGTATGTAGTAAGTATTAAAAATATTAGGCACACCAATCCATCCATAGCTCATTTTATTCACTGATGTCGCAATAACGGCCGCCATCATCGCCATCTATGTGCACTGTCAACGTTCGAGCACAGCACTTTGCCTTGTGACTGAATTTTTGGGGGAATGTGTGTGCGGAGGAAGTTGAAACTTGGCACGGAGGCAATTCTTACTTGCAAGATCACGGATTGTGAGGTGAGCAAGCTTAAGGGCATTCATTCCCCCCACACTTCCCCGCAATGTGCGCCCACGTCGGAGAAATGGTAACTTGAATTGAGACGGGTGACAGGTTAAATTAGACGCCGTTGACTAGCATGAGTAACGCGTACGGATCAGGGGAGGCATGGGGAAGGCTGTACGTACGAGAGATGGTCAAGAGGTCGTACGATATCGATGAGCGCGATATGCGAGGTTACTGCAAGGAGCTGCTGAGAATCAAGTGACGATGAGAGTCAAGTGACCCGGTTCAGGTTGAACTGAACCTGATGGCAACATCTATGTATACACATGCTCGGGCCGAAAGAGCGGCGGGGTTGTGTCCACTTTCAGGCGTTTCTTTTTTCCTCGCACTCTCTTCGCTTTTTTTTTTCTTTGGCTTCTGGGGTTGATACTCGCGTTGGGTTCTCTGCCACACAGTAACTCGGACGATATCATATCATCTGCATCATCCATCCGTTGCTTGCGTTACTATGCTCGTCGCTTTTCCAGCACCCGTTCTTTCTGTTACGGCGGACGCTGTTAGGGAGCTTGAAGGGAGCGAGGCACTGTCTGGCTTGTGGACGCGTGAGTTGCTTTTTCTTTTCTCTTTCCCTCTCTTTCCATTTTTTCCCCTCCCCTTCCCCTGTAATTCTCAACTTCAAATCTCTAACACACCCCACACAGTATTCACCAAATGCAAAGAATCACTCAAAGACGGGCGACGACTCGAGAACATCTCTTGGAGGCTTTGGTATCGCGAATTGATGTTGCCATCAGAGAAGAAGCACCCCGTCGAGAGAGATGGAAATGGAGATTATCGTCCGCTTACACCGAGTTTGGATTTGGATGAGAGGGCATGTAAGTTTCTTCTTTTCGTGCTCACTCCATTATTGATGCTGACTTGATATCTCATTCTCAGCCCTGCCACCTATACCCATGTACCCGTCCATCCCGCTCACCCGAAAGCCGTCTTCAATACGGAGATCCGGCTCCGTTAACCAAGGAACTTCCATGACCGTTGGAAAGATCATATATGATATGTTACCCGGGAGCAGGATTGCGAGGTTTTCGATATCGCCCAGTGGTACTCTGCCCGCTGCCAATATGGGTACTACGCCCGCTACCAACCCTACAGAATCTGAACCCCGCTGGGTCAGGTACAACCTTTCCATTCTACCCCTCCTTCCTCTCCCAGAACCGACGACGACGAGGGAGGCAGTTATTCTTGCTGCCGAGTCGTTACCGACGCCTGCTATGGAGGATGTTAAGGGTGGTTATGTGTCTTCTGGGACGGTTGCAGATTCATCGACGACGGTTCCCTCGTCAGCAACAACGCCCTCTTATGTGCATGACACTAGTCCTGGGCAGAGTGTGTACGCTGGCCCTCCGTCCCCGTCGTTATCAGATGTTTATGCGCACGCGCATCCTGGAGAAGTTCTTTCGATGCAATTGCAATTTGCCTCTGCACAGGCACCCCCCTCAATTCTGCCGGCTATGGCCTTGGTATCCTTGCCTTCCTCAACATCAGCCATCCCCTTATTCTTACCCTCCACATCAACATCAATCCAAACCCCAACCCCACGCACGCCGCCCCCACCAACGCTAGTCGTTGTGAATCCGACGCCGAACCCGACGCCGCATCCTACGCCGCCTGCTACGCCTGCTCCTGTGCTTTTAGGTGCGGGAGGGGGTGCGGGGGAGAGGAGGGCGAGTGCGCAGTATCTTGCTTTGCCTGGACGGGCGGGGACGCCTCTGAGGGCGGTAGGTGGTGGTGGTGGTGGTGAGGTTCGAGTGAAGGTGGATGGAGGGAAAGATGATGTTGAGGCTCGGATACGCAACGCGGTTGAACTACACGTCAAAGACAAGGACAACAGCAAATCGTATCAACATCACCAGAAATATAATTCGACGTCTTCGACGAGCTCACACGCTTCTTCGACTGTGTCGGTGGTGACGGGTACGACGGGGGTTACTAGTGCGAGTACTAGTGAGGTTGATGGCGATGAGCATCACGGTACCAAGGTCGTTGATCAGGAGGAGCCGCCACAAGGAGGCATTGGGGTTACTTCGTCGAGGGATGATTGTGCTTCGCCCTCCGCTTCACCTTTGCCAGCCAAATCCTCACCTAAATCCACATCGAGCAATCCACATTCCCAATCACCCGAGCCCTGGTCCCATTCCCATTTACGCTCACCCACCACCGCCACCAGCACTGCTACTACCACGACAACAACAACAACAACCCGTGCTCGTGCCCTTCAACCCGCTCCAGCCACCGCCATCACCCGCTGCGCAAGTAGCAGCGGTGGTGGTACGAGTCGAAGTCGGAGTAGACCATCGCTCTCCGTTTCGGGTGTTTCTACTAAGAGTAGGAGTAGGAGTAGGGATGCTGGTGGTGGTGTGTTGGCGTTGGGTATGGGGATGACGAAGAAAGTTGGAGGGGTGGCAGGGAAGTTGGTTTCGAGGGGGAAGCTTGGGGGGAAGGGGTTGAGTAGGAAGGAGAGTCGTGTTGATGTTGGGGAACAAGGGGAGGAGGAGAGGGAAGCGTTGAATGTTAGAGCTGAGAGGGAGTATTTGGCCAAGATGAAGGAGATGGAGATGGTTCAACAACGAGAACGGGAGGGAGAAAGAGAGAGGGAAAGAGAAAAGAGATCGGCGCTGTTCAACATCGGCTCGAACTCTGATAACGGATCGAAGAGCGCTGGGAGCGGGTCTGATGTGTCTGGATTGGTTGGGATGGGGGGTGCTTATGAGTTGGCACAGGGGGCGACAGCTGCTTGGAAAGGCAAGGGTAAAGAGCGAGAGGGAGACAAGGCACACCAGAAGGAGATCGACGACTTTAGGTTGAAGCAGAAGGAGAGGGAAGTGGCTACGGCAGCGGCTGTTGCCGCTAATCTGGCACTGGCTGCTCAACAGCTTGCAAGGATGGGGGCGCCTTTGCTGCCTCAGCAGCTCGCGGCGCCTTTACTTCCCCAACAACAGCGAAGAACTATCGTGCTTGCTACTAGCGAGTCGGACTATGAGACTGATTCGGATGAGGATGAGGATGGGTCGTGGTCTAGTGAGGAGATGAGTGGTGATGAGGTTCGTGCTTTTTTTCTCTTCTTTTTATTAGGTAGCTGATTTTTTTTTACCTACAGAATGGACATCAAGTCGATGTGAAGCCCGTAGCACATCCCCCTCCTCCTCCTCCCCCTGCCCCAGTAGCACCACCCATCGTCCACCGCCTCGCCCCAATCCAAAAAACGGTATCTAACCAGACCAACACACGCAATACCAAACCCATCTCACGCGCCCAAATCCACCGTGCTCAGGCGCAAGCGAACACGCAAGCTATAATGGAGAAAGCTGCGGCTGAAGCGCAGAGGCAGCGGGATATGTTTGCAAAGTTGCCTGTGGCTTCTTTCCAGAACATTGAGAGGGGCGGACCGTCGAGGACGAGGAGCGCGGGGCTGTTGACGCAGCTTTTGAATCCGCCGTTGGAGATTTTCCCGGTGAATCATCCGTATAGGAGGGGATATAGTTCTGGGGAGATACGTGTTGGGCAGCAGCAGCAGGGTCAAGGGCAACAGCAGCAAAAGGCTGGACCGTCGTCGAATGCGCCTTCTGGGCCGGCTCGTGCACCTGGTGGGATTAAAGTGAGCAAGAGCGCTGCTGCGCTGCCTATTTCGTCCCAGGTACAGGTGGGGAGCGTGTATGGGAAGGGTGTGGCTTTGGCTGCTATGCCGACTGTGGGCCCAGTTGTGAATGGCAACGGGAACGCCAATGGTGGGTACAGGCCCAAAGGACGTCCTCAAGGCCAAGAGCTCGAAGACGATAGCGGGAGCGAGGATGAGGCGAATGCGGGTATACAAGTGTCTAAGAGCATAGCGCAGGAGCGGTTGAAGGCCCTCGCGCAGCGGAGGGGCATCGTCACGCATGGAAAGCAAAGGTCCATGGGTGGTAGGCTTACGACTTTGGATGATAACGACGTCCCGCCTTGGCTTAATGGTGGTCCCCAACCTGGTCCTTCTACAGCATACGGTCAACTTCGTCGGCAAGTATCTGATCGACGTCCGTACCCTGAGGAACAACCCCCCACGCCGACGCCTATCCCCGTTGGACACCCGTACAACCTCCCTCCCCCCGCTGCGCCTTCCACCCCGCGTACCACCCGCCGTCAGATGCTCCAGACGGAGATGTCGGAGAGTTTGAGGCGGAATTTGTTGTGGGAACGACAAGTTAGCAAGGTCAACCTTGTGGGGTATCGGGCGAGTACGAATGGGGGTAGTAGGGGTAATGTGCTGGGGGGTTTGAAGCCGTTGACGACTACACCTAGTATGGTTCAGCTGAGGGCTAAAGGGGAGGCTGCTGGAAATGGGAATGGGGCAGCTGGTCCGTCTGGTGCGGACACAACACAGCCTTCTGATAGGGAGAGGAGGGGGAGTGGGGGAGAGGCGGAGGAGAGGGAGGAGAGGAGACGGTTGGCGATGGCGAGGAATAAGAGTTGGGCGGACGATTATCACTTTAAGGGGTGGTAATCTGTGAAGACGCGCTCGCCCGTGAACTTTTTTGAATTTGCTCCCTTTTTTTCCTTTTTCTTTTGGGTTTCATCCATCGATTCTTTCCGTCCACAATAACAATCCTGATCCTACCAAACCAACTAATTGCCGCCCGTCCATCTTCCATCTTCTTCACCTGTACATGCTCACTGACACATTTCTATTTAATTCCACCCGTTCTGGTCGTGTTGTCACATCATCATCAGCCTACCTACTATCCCCTTTTAATAATCCCTCTTTCTTCCGTCTTTCATCTTGTACATTTGTCCGTATCTCATCGCTCTTCGTCGTCTCTACTTACTATTCTGTCGCTTCTGTTGTATCATCATTCGCTTGTGCAGACTTTCCTCGAGCATCCCTTCCGTTCGTTTTCGATACCATACCCATTCCTGACCTCATCACATTGCATCTCGACTACTTGTTTGTCGATAGTGTACATAATTATCCATGGATTTCTTGCGCTAGGGAGCTGAGCTGTTCTCTGGAGAGTTATGTGACCTGTACCGTGTACGTCGTTTGGTCTTTTTCGTCCCCATTTATTATCGCCCTTTGCATTGTTTAGGAAACATATGCCTCTAAGAGCTGCCTCGTGAGCTGTACGTCTTTCACTCTTTTTCGTTAACGTTTTCATCGCAATTTTACATTTTCTAGGAAGCATAGGTCTCCGTGTCCATCGAAAATTCCAATCGGATGGTACTACCAAGGCAAGACCCGGGTTTGGTATTACGACTTCGACCGAGGTTGCCTTTCCCCAACAAGTTGTAGTATCAACTCGACTACCAGGAGTTATTTTTTTCAGAGATTAATCACCCTCTTCAAACGTGACGTTTTCCCATAGTACCAGTCGTAGCCATCGTGACCAAGTTCGATACATTTCTACAAGAATTTTTTAACGCCCATCTTTCGCTGAAGTTCCTCCCGGAACTTCCACATCCCGCGCATATGGCGTTTGCAAGTGATATAACTCCCGGACTTGGCAACGATTACTAAGAAGTTCCTTCAACAGGCTGCGAGTCACCACATAACTGTAGCAATTATCGCGGCCTCCACTTTATGCGAATTATCTTCCTGAAGGTTCCGTACTACGTGCGCAAGCATTCGTCACCAGGCTGGATTCCCTCGCCTTGCGTAAATACTCTCTGTCGTCGAAGGGGTATTCGAGAATCGAAAGCTCGCACAAACTCGAGGAATATCCCCAAAATATCCCTTCCCGATATTCACAAGGCAATTCTTTATTTTATATTGTTCAACCTGTACGTCCCGTCTTCCTGTGACTTTCGAGTTGCCCCTGACCTCTTCGCAGTCTTTTGGGATACTAATACGCTGTTGTGGCTCGACGTCCTAAAATAATCTCGATCCAAATCTTTACGTCCACCGCTGACTCCCAAAATTGAGACACTCTTGCCACTGCTGGATCCAAGTTACCACATCTCGCTCAAAGATGTTCCCAAAACATGCTGATTTTCAGGCCTTCGAATGACGGTTTTCGAAGGAACTGCAAAGATTGTCCACGGGGACATATTAACCTTTGAATTTTTTGATGAAGGCCTTTCAAACTTTTCGTTTCGATATCAGCTATGTTCATTACTTGTTGGTTCAGGTTTTGAGATATTGACATTGACATCAGATATTCAGGTTCACGGAGATCAAGATCAACACGCGTTTCGTGGCAGAATGGCAACGTTCGCCGTCCTCGTTGTAACAATGCGACATCGTCTATTTACAGCTGGTGATGAAGTACCAATCGATTGACCTTTTTTGAACTTCAAGGCGTATCCAGCGCGGGAGCGGGACCTTTCACGCTCAAACGTTTACCAAAAATCGCTTACGTCTCTGTCGGTGCATCAAAAACTGGGTTGTAGCAAGTTTTCGCACACCGTACATGATGCCGAGGAGTCCCAAGATCTTCACATATAGACACCGTTGAAAAAGGTCTATCTATCCCCCTCCCCCACCGGAATCTCCGCTTTATCCACGTTCCTTCGCCCGAACGAGGCAGTCGCTACCGCTTCCCAACTCTTTGAGTCAAATTCCCATCTAAGTACGTGCCAGTTTTCAGACGCTTACTTACAAGGTGTCTATTGGACTATCTGGATAATCGTATGTATACTTCATTCTTACTGGATGAGAGTCCTTACTAGTTTTTCCCTTCGAAGACCAGCTAAAACTGCGGTCGGCGGCGACGGTGATCGACGGTGTCATGAACACTTTCTGACATGCCATTCAATCCTTGTCTGGCGGCGGTCCGTACTGAACTTTTTTGCACATAAGGCAACTGTCAGTTAAAGTGAGCCCGCCATCTAGATCTCTCCTATGTCATGAACAAAAACGATCCTTGAAAGATTCAGCATCAACTCATTGTCATCCCCAACCCTGGAATACTGCGGCAGATCATTTCCGCCGACTCCACATTTTTACGCATGCCTAAAGGCCTCATTCACGATGCTCTTTTTGTGAGTGGATTGATTCTAGGGTGGCTGGCGAGTCTCTGAGCAATCAACACGCTATCAAAAGCCTCGTGACCCATATCCAAACTTTCGGTAAGTTTTACCATTGCTCCTCAAGTACGATACTGAATGAAACCACTGTTGACGAACTTTCCCACTTCCCCACAAACTATCTGGAATAAATAATATCATGACTTGGAAACCACCCCTTCTGGCATCCATCCGACAACCTTGCCACTTGCCAATTATGTTTGACTGGAACGACGCCGCCAAATAGCAGCATTCGATTTGCATCTGTCTATTTCGGAAGCGAAAGTCAAAAGGCATCACTGCAATAACTTACATAGTTATTCTTGACAAACACAAATCTGGCTACTACGAACCGATAATACGTCCTGAAGCCGTTATCCCGAATTGATACATCACGCTTGATAAATCCTGAAGTTGATCGCCGTGTTGGCGTCTCCTTGGTTCCTTGGTCTCCCGAAGCTCGCGAGAACAAGGTTTTTCGTCGTGTTGGAGCCTTGAGAACTCCCCGCCTCAGACTCAGTCATTGTATCGACAAAAACCACATTACAAACACCACGGAAAGGTCTTTGCTGAGGGCGCGGCCATGAGAGCGTAGGAGATTTATCTTGCAAACTACGGGCGTAATAAAATCACGGATAGTAGATAACGATAAGGTCATGAAACTGAAGGAGTAATACACCTAAATATATTTATCCGACGCGTCCTCATGGATAACCAAATTTTAGTTGAAACAGAGGACCGAGGGACAGAAAAAGGAAGTCGTCACAACCGTGTATGTAAATTGAGATTGTAGGCCTATGATTCAGTGCACGATCGCCAGCCCTGATTAAGTTGTGCATGGAATGGGGACGAGTCCAGATCATCATCAAGTTGGCCCTACTAGGAAAGCCATAAAGGGCGACATCTGAATTTCTGACCTACAGGGAACAATTCGTTGACACCCAGCCAATTATTTCGCGGAACGCTCTCTAAATGAGTGAAGGGAGTGACCATGTACGGCAAAGAAACTCCGGATTACTTGGGAGGAGTACAAGGTTGACTACTTATTCCGATTCTGAGATATTCTTCCAATAAGAGGTTGTAGTATTTTTTTTTTTTCACTGGTCCTAAACCAACGCAAGAGTTTACCGATCGCCCTGGAACTCGACGCGCATCCTTATTATCGACCTTTGACTCTCTGACGCAAAGCCAAATTATTCGGAACTCTTAGGCCATATATGCAAAATGCAGGTACAAAAAATGTTCGATGGATAACGATTACAACTTGTACGAGAATTACGGAAATCGGAGTGTATCGCTCAAGCTCTGCTGATAATTTGAGCGCGAAGCAGAGATGCCATCTAGAAATACGGAGTACGGGCTAGACGTATGATAGTATCCAAGTCGAGGCGTAGCTCCTAGCACATCTTTTCTTTTAAACTAATCTATGCCGACGGCGATGTATTCTCGCTTTCGCACTATAAACATACATTCTATGGTTAACGTTATTTTTATCTGCCTATCTCCCGAAAAAAATGCGGTGACTGCTTCCAATAACACCAAAGCAGTCATCTCTAATTACATACAGCTGTACGAAAACAAATTATCAATCAGAACAGAAACTAAAGAACTAGGTTCAGCGGGGACACAAGAATCAAAAAGGATCGCGACGCACAGGATAGGAGCTCTCGGGCTCTATTCGATGCCCCACGTATTGTTTGGGGTCGAAAGAAGAGTTTGTGATGTCCCAATGGATTTCAGTGATCGGATCAACTTGGATCTGCAAAGCGTCGAAATCCCCAAAGTGGTTGCCCACGAGGGTACCCTCGCTGATAGTGTGAGGCTGGGAATATGAGGGGTATAATTCCTGCGGTGATGCCTGATAAATTTGGGAATGATCTATAATGTGCGTCGAGTCGGACATCATATGCTTGTAAAAGTCGTGGTGGAAAAGAGGGGACGAAGAGTAAGGCATTTGCGATTCATCTGGAAATGCGGAGAGCGTCTGGTGTGCATTGAGGTCAAAGCCTTGGTATGAAATATCTGGTGAGGAAATCGAACGAGGAGGCGCCTGGATGCCGGTTGCCCTGTGATCGAAAGAAAGCGCCGGCGGGCTGTCCTCCGTGATCATCGATGACGAAGGTGGCCATCCTGATACATCAAAGTCGCATGGGAGTTGGGCGCTTTCAAGAGTGAATTGCACTGGCAATTGTCCCATCATCGGAAGGGAAATGGCGGGGGTGGAAGGAGATGCGCTGGATGAGGAAGAAACACTCTCAGTGTTTGAGGACTGTTCGCTGTCGGTAGATTTTCTTCTCAGCCGCACACCTCGAGGATTCTCAGGATTGAATCGGGTGATGCTGTTATATCTATAAAGCCGGCGGTAAGGATGCTGAGGGTCGGTGATACTGAGGGAATCCTACCTATTTTTTGCCGATAACCCTGTACGGCCAGGGAAATAAGTCTTGACAATTTTTGTCCAAACCTTCCCGTGCTCACTGACCGCTCGCAGCAGGAGCTCATCCTGAGCGGTGTTAGGTTGGCGTTAACTTCAAACAGTCAGGGCCATGAACGTACAGAGTCTGGTGACCAAGTGGTGCGGTCGATTGCAGGATTGAGAGTATCCGTCCAACGTTTAGCGCACTCTATTTGACTTAAGTTATCATCGATAGTTAACAGAGAAGAAGAGGACTTACGGTCACTGTTTCTGGATTGGACGACTGAAGCAACAAGCGACCACCTAAGAGATGAACAAAGATCAGAAGAGGCTCCCGTTGGTCGATATACATTTGTCTAACCTTGTTCCGTACCTCTCGATCCCCTTCACCAGCTTCTCGTCCTCATCAGGAGCCCAACCCCCTTTGACGACGTCTGAGGCCATCTTCGCAAACCACCTCTTGCGACAGTCTTTGTTTGTCCTATTGGGCACATGCTTGGCGATTGCATGCCATTTCGAAGGATTAGGGTTGTCTGGATCCTCTGATGTGATCCCGACGTCAGTCAGCATAGCTAGCGAGAGGAGGGCTAAATGAAACGCGGACCTCGTTGTACTGCGTCACGCAGGAGTTGGTCTTCCATTGCGGTCCAGGATCTACGTTCTCTGCAAAGCATTTGTTCGGTGGAAGGAATAACGCGAAGGAGCAAGGCTATAAGTATTGCGCGTTTGCATGATGTGATTAATATTGCTTTCTTGAAGGGGTCTCACTCGACCGGAAATCGGGGTGGCACGATTCCTTTCACACAGGTATGATAAATCGGGATCAATCGACTGTTTTTATTCGAGATTAGGATTTGAGATTGATGTTTTGCTTATGCATATCCGACGACTTCCAAGTTGAAGGGCAAGCGAGTCCTCCATGGAGATCGAGCTGTCGTGCAAAACCGGATGTTTTCTGCTTAGACGCGGAATTTCATCTTGTACAATGAGCTGCTTTTCAGAAACAGAGACAAAGAACTGACCTTCGGCAACTGATAGGGAATCATATCACTTGTGTGTAAGTATAGTCGTAAAACAAGCGAAACTCCGCGAGCGTGGTTACGTAACTCACTTTTCGTCCGTTTGGGACAAATTATGCTCCTCGGATTTGTGTTTGGTATTAACCCCATTCCTTTTGTCACCTACCTGATTTGATGGCGGCGACTTCAGAATTGAACTTTTTGACAATCGTGCGTGCTTTCTCTTCGTTTTGACAGTTGACGATACGGTCAAAATACAGACTCCAATTTGTCAGAGTTGCTGACAATGATAGAATCCTGCTGAGGGCTGTTGTCCAGTAGAATGCCGAGCCGCAGAGCGCTAACATTCTCGTCGTAAATGACAGTGCTTCATATTGACACTTTTACGCTGTAAAGGTTGTACAAAAGGGACTCAACATGGGTGCCTGTGACCAAAATGGCCAAGTTGCTTTGATCCATGCCGCGCTTCACGGCTTTCCATCCCAGCCGTTGCTCCCCAACACATCTACGTATTTACTCTCTCTGACCCTGCTTAACTCTCGAAATTCCACGGAACAGCTTTACTTGAAACGTAGATTGAATTATTTTAGCTACAGCCGCGTATAAGAAACTGTTTAATTGTCATAGAGGCTGACGCTCAATGGAGATATGATATGGCGGGCGATCAATTCTCCGAACGTTTCCCTTCAAGAACATTTGAGGAGAGAATTCCATATGTGATATGCAAATAAAAAGAACTTCGTAAATCACAATTTTTGTGGGTTAGAGAGAAACCATGACGCCGTTGAGGTCAGTGCTTTCTGATTACATTTCACCCAAAACAATGAAGCCGAGGAGCGAAGATATACGGTTCGCGACACTTATCTTGCCGCGAGACTCTGATTGTTTACTTGTTACTCTGTTTAGTAGCCGAGACTTTCCGCTGAGAGATACTCTAATGTTAGGCAATCGGCGGCCGGTCAACTCCGTTTGTTGAGTACGGCGGTCAATTATAAGTATCATCTTTAGAGATAGGTAGAGCGAAAGAAATCACTGAAGGAGTGACGCCCAAAGGAGCTGTCTCTGTCTGGGGGAAATTCATTTTTACGTCTTGCCTAGCGCAAGCGCCTCACGCATCACTCACAACTTAATAAGCGCCTAGCCGACGCTGCCCACCGCCGCACCGAATTAATTCCCACATTTCGCAACAAAAGAAAACTCAGCAGGCAATGAATACATGCCTGACCGCGTGAGACCACCGCTTCCGAGTGGATTTCGGCCTCGTCGGAGTCTCCTTAGGCAAAATGCTGTTTCTTCCCCGCTCAACTGGATCGAGTAGAGCTTGCTCACCGAAAAGAATGGAGGCCCATTATTGCACGTAGTTACAAATGTAAAATTATAATTCACACCTGCTCCGTAACATCCCTCTATTATAATATTGAACGAACTTTCGTAACGAAAAAAAGAAAAGAAAAGAAAGACACCCGATCTAACTCGGAGATTTATATGGAGGTGCTTTGCCATTATTGATTTGTAATGTTACACTCCACGAAGAGAGGGCGAATATCAGTGTAAGTACGTCATGAAAGTCGAGATATCTATCAAAATGAACAGCCGCTTCGTTCAGGTACAATTTAATTAACATGAGGAAAGGCGGGGTCGGACACATGTGACATATCCACCCTATAAAAATCAGGGGTGACCGATTTTCTAACCCTCGCCGGAAAGTTGCGATGATACTCAACTCTATTTCTTCCCTTAGAAGATGTCAAGATAAACTTCTACCCGAAACGTTGTCCATTTCACTTTAGAAAAGTCGGAATGGTGTGGATACGTTGACGTGATAGTTGAGACTGGTCGGCGGATATCAAAATGATTTTCTTGGATGATCTATCACTCGTTGAGCAGTCACTTGATCCTCACCCAACTACAGAAGATCGCAGTTTGAGAGATCTCGAGGATCCTGTGTGGATTGAGTGAGTAGAGGAACTCCGAATTAATAATTCCCAATGTGAAAGAGCGTAAAATACCCAATTTAAAAGAATATTGAACAAAGGGTACGATCTCGTTGTTCAGCTAGCTAGCACTCGTTTCTCATTTGGTTAGAGGCAACCCCGCGGCTTAAATAAGTTCAAGTTGTGAAGGACACGAACTTGGGATATCGACCTTCCGCGTTCAATGTCAAATACACCAAAACTGACGATTCGCTCGTTGAAACCGATAAACGGAGAAACGAATAGCCTATAAATTTGGAGGCCTGGACTTGCCCTTCTGCTCCCTTCTCTAGGCGTTAAATTTCAGTTTCGTTGCAGTCCGATCAATTGTACATCTCCATTTTACTTACATCAATAAAACACACAGGCTCGAGGCGAGAACTCCGCTGCCACCTTGTGATAAAAAGTCCTAGTTTGGATAAACCAACTGCGCACATGCCTGAATTATTGCTGGTGAAATTTCGATGTCATGGACATGGATTTCAGGGTGAGGTTTCACCTCCACATATGACGCCTGGATCTACGTTAGGGTAGAAGAGTGTGTATAATTTATACTGTCGCGGGATGGGGAGCGGTGGGTAGGCTGGTTGGGTGGGAAAGTTAGGGTGACGACATTTATTCCAGTGTTCACGACCTCTCGTTGAAAATCTTGGTTATAATTTTGGATCAAGTACATGCCACAGCATTTTGACGAGAATATGATGGCGTTTTGCGTAGGCCTCGTGACGAGCCCTGAGACCAAGTACGAAGTTGATCATGACCAAGCACAAAAATGCTGAGCGAACCACTAACAAAGCGACGGGTTGATTTGGCAGGACTTTGAACTTGAAGATCGAAACACAATTCATAGTTTGGATTCGAACATTTTACGTGTTTCACGAGTTCCCGCGATATTAAAGAGAGTTTCTCCAGGATCATCTTTATGAACCTGACAACGAAATGGCTTTGACGTCTTGTATTGCGGTTGAGATTCAGGTCTGAAAGCGAGGCAGACTGTGACAGTAACACTGCCGTGACAAGTCGCGTCAAGCACGTGATGCTAATTTTTCTTCCTTCCTTCCTTCCTCTTACCATCGTCCCCTGCGGATCCGAACGATCTGCGATAGAAGTTCTGTACAATGGCAGAGATTCATGATCAATTCGATACCATCTTAATTCTGGATTTCGGCTCACAGGTGCGGTTCAGTCAAAGGCGTCGATTTAGCGTCGGATGCTCACATTTTTACAGTACAGCCATCTGATCACTCGGAGATGTCGAGAGCGCAATGTATATGCGGAACTTATGCCATGCACGACGTTAATCAAGGATATCAACTTCAAACCCAAGGGTACGTTCCGATCAAATATCCCAATGCTCTCGCATTCATTGACACACTCAGGTATCATCCTCTCTGGTTCCCCATACTCTGTATACGATAAGGATGCCCCGCATGTTGATCCTACTGTCTTTGAGCTCGGAATACCCATCCTCGGCATTTGCTATGGACTTCAAGTAGGTTTCAGGCCAGAGCCATATTCGCGTTGGACTGACATCATCAGGAAATCGCCTGGAACCTAGGTGGGGAGGTAACGAAGTGTGACCACCGTGAATATGGCTTTGCGGAGATACAGATCAATAAGATCGGAGGAGAAGAGTCTGTAGACGCCTTGTTTGAGGGACTCGGCGAGGAAATGCAGGTGAGCCTAGCCCTCACTGTGGCAATCGGTCTGAATTTCATGTGGCGGGTATTAGGTATGGATGTCTCATGGGGATCAGCTCTCTCAACCTCCTCCGGACTTCCATGTCATTGGCCACACGAGAACGGCACCTTACGCCGCTCTCGCACACAATACGAAACCGCTTTATGGGATCCAATTTCACCCCGAAGTAACTCACTCCCCTCGAGGAAAGGAGCTTATCGCGAAATTTATTCTGAGCATCTGTAAATGTCGACAAAACTGGACGATGGTGCCTATTCTTTGATCGCGCTTTCTTTTGTGATTGACGGCCTTTTGATAGGAAGAGTTTATTGGAAAAGAAATCTCTCGTATTCGTGACATTTGCGGAGAGAAAGGCCGTGTGATTGGGGCCGTCAGTGGGGGTGTTGACAGTACTGTCGCGGCGAAACTAATGCATGAAGCTATTGGAGATAGGTACATCTCCCCTTACTTTTTAAGGGCAACTGTTTTGACCGTGTTTCAGATTCCACGCAATTATGGTTGACAACGGCGTGCTCCGTTTGAACGAAGCTCAACAGGTCAATGAAATGCTCAATAAGGACCTGGGTGTGAACTTGACAGTGGTCGACGCATCGGACTTATTTCTGTCCCGCCTCGAAGGCGTCGAGGAACCCGAGCAGAAACGGAAAATCATTGGTAATACTTTCATTAATGTTTTCGAAGAGGAGGCTGCGAAAATCGAGGCCGCTGCCGATGAGGAGGAAAAGGCAGGCGCGGCAGCCAAAGGCCGTGTCGAATGGCTCCTCCAGGGCACCCTTTACCCTGACGTCATAGAGAGCATCAGCTTCAAGGGACCGAGCGCGACTATCAAAACCCATCACAATGTCGGCGGTCTCCTCAAGGACATGAAACTCAAACTTATCGAGCCATTACGAGAGCTGTTCAAGGGTACGTCCGATAAAACTTTATCCTCCGCTACCTACTCAAATTGTCGGGTCATTCTCACTCAATCGGAACAGATGAGGTCCGAGCCCTGGGGCGTCTTTTGTCAATTCCCGCTCCACTCGTGCAGCGGCATCCGTTCCCTGGGCCGGGATTGGCCATTCGCATTTTAGGTCCCGTTACGCGCGATCAAGTAAATATTCTACAACATGCGGACAGTATCTATATCGAGGAAATCAGGAAAGCAGATTTGTACGACCAGATTTCTCAGGCTTTTGCTGTATTATTGCCTGTAAAGGCTGTGGGCGTCATGGGCGACCAAAGGACGTATGAACAGGTGCGTTTTCTGTGCCTCATTCCCACGTGGCGCTTTCTCTTTAGAGGAGGGCCATGACGTTCATGCTTTAGGTTATTGCGCTTCGTGCGGTCCAATCCGAAGATTTCATGACAGCGGATTGGTGCGTATCGTTGTAGTTTATTATTGGGGAGCGCCGCTCACTTTTCGACTTGTTACTATTGGATGCAGGTTTGTTTTCCCCGCTGATGTTCTCCGAAGAATCTCGTCGCGCATCACCAATGAGGTTGCCGGTATTAACCGTGTTACTTATGATATCTCTTCCAAGCCGCCTGCAGTAAGTGAACTGATATATTGGGTATGTTTGATGTAATACTAAGCACGTTCTTTCTTTCAATAGACTGTGGAATGGCTGTAAAATCATCGATCGGATAGTGTAGAAGTCAACTAGGGTATGCTGGCTGGAAACGTTGTGGTATGTTGCGTCGTCAATGTAATATGTAAGAGTGGCGGAAAAGCGGAATGGAATACTCCGATAAAACCACACCACAATCGCACATGTTGAGAGACATCTTCAGCAAGCCTCCAAAGATAACCAACAGCAACATGTGCATTTTGCTGAATCATTCGCAGAATTTCAACCCGAAATTGGACAATGTATGATCTTCGAAAACACACAATGTCTACTACTTAAGGGAAGGCGTCAAACCTTATAGCCTTGGGAAACTAATGACGGAATAATGTTACACTCGTTTTCGACATCAGACGCCATTACCTCCGTGGCTATCAAACATTCGCTGATAAGGTGTACGAAGACGTCGTGAGGGCCCCTCCGGTGCCGCCAAACTCGTATCAAGATGAGTGAGTTGGTGCCTGCTCAATTGTCGATGTGGTGGCGTCGTGGAGAGGCTTAATGACCGGTTCCGCACCTGTACCAACGGAGGGGTGTTTCGTGTTTAGACGGACGGGGAGAAGATCTCTGCTTGGTAGTATCCGGCTGGTACCTGGAAGATATTGAGGGGTACGAAAGCTAAAAATCACAACCGCTGTGGGATATAATTTGACGTACCTATCGTATTGGGAGTGTAAGTATGGGGCATACATGGCGAAAACCTAAGACCGGATATCAGATTTTGGCGTCGACTGTTTTCATCGCGTACAGAGTCTCTTTCTGACTGATAAGGTGACATCTACATTGCGAGAATCAGATATCCGAGAAGTTTGGATCTCGCAGTACTGATGATCGTGTGAAAGATACAATTCTAGTTGAACGCACGCCATATTTTGAACGCCTAAGTATAGGTCCTGTATGGTGAAAGGCTGACGCCGGATATCAGAGTCGCAATTTGGGTTAGAGAGGTGTTCCTGAATTCTAGTGTTGAGTACTCCTTCGCGCACGGAGTCGAGGCCTTCTCCTCACCATAACAAATATAACGTATAACTTTTGCTGAAAATGGTCAGATGTTCAGAAATAACATGACAAGGGCGCATCGCACAATAGCCCTCTGAGGAGTGTCAGCAGTGATTTCCCTTCTCCGTGCAGTAGCTTTCGCAGACTTCACACATCTACGCTGCATTGATTTAAGAGATCGCCTAGAAGGTCTGGGATTAGATCTACACAAGAGCGAAATGATAAAAATCGACCCCGACTCATCTTTAGACATGCAAATTTATCAATTTCTGAATGGCGACAGTCTGAGGCCGGATATCAGGATCGAGCCTAGGCAAATAATTTGTTCCAAGATGCTAGTTTCGATTTTTTTCGGGGGGGCGGAAGTAGGTCGACACCTCGTCTTGATAAACCAGAATGATCAAATGTCCGAGCCGCATGGACACGGCAGCATATTGATAGTAGCGGCAAGTTTGCAAGATTCTGAAAGGTCAGAGTACTTTCTCCTTATATCATTAGCGGGGGATTGAGGTGCGAGAGACATAAACAAACTTGCCTTGTTCAACAAAAGGCCAAGTGGGCTCTGCGTAGGCAAAGGCTCAAGGCAAAATCGCAACTCCAAGTTGCCCAGAAAATGTGTTTTCCGCTGTGAACGGAAGGATCAGCTGTCTGAACGGTGGCTTGTAAGCATCGCATCAGTAGGAATGGGCGTACGCTTATAGGAGCTCTCCTTCAAGTGCGAGAATGAAGTACTAAAGGTAATACACTTTGCACGGTGGCCGCTTCGCTGGCCTAAACCTAAGCCAGTCCAGGCCACAAGCTGACAGTGGGGCTCCGAAGGTCAAAAGGGGAATCCAGCCAGGCCAAAGTCGGGGTTTTCAGCCTGAACGGGGAACGTTCATCATACAAATATTGAATGGGGGGTATAGTTCATAGTTCTGTCAAGAAATTTGTTGAATTCAGTCAATACCACAAGGAAATGATAAAACTAACGTCAACTTCTCCCCGAAATCCATGGCGAGACACTTCGACCGATTCAAGACACAATACAGAGTCATTCCGAAAGCTTCAACAGGCCATCGTTTTCTAAAGTGTCGTAGAGGGGAAATGCTGTGTTCAATGTTATGGCGGTTACTGAGCTCACATGACGAATTTGAACTTTTCTCCACACCACCTCCAGACCTCCACGCGCCGTCTCCAGGCGTCCATATTGCTCTAAAATGGGTCAGTAAACATCAATTTACGTTCAAAGGGGCCAACTGATAGTCATCGGCAATAGGTATTCCCAAGGTTCGTCGCTGTCCGGGTGATTTTGGCGATTATTGACGGTTCTTCAGTTCTTCCGATACATCTCGTTCGTTGGTTTAATTCGTCTCGTTCTAACCCTCTCTGATCATGACTTAGAGAGAGATACCCCTTGACCTCGCAGTTGATACAAGAGAACAAGATTCCAGAGTTTGGTGGGTGGTGTATGACTTGGAAAGAGCGTTACCAATGACATTACTCTCAGACAATCTTTACCTGGATTTCAACGGAATCATTCACAACTGTGCGTTTCTCGCACTCAGGAGCTGTTTTCTTTACTGAGACCTTCTAGGCTCTCACCCCAACGATGAGGACGCCCATTTCCGACTTTCAGAAGAGCAAATCTTCACTTCGATATTCACATACGTGGACCATCTGTTTGGCAAGATCAAGCCGAAGAAACTCTTCTTCATGGCGGTGGATGGCGTGGCGCCGAGGGCGAAGATGAATCAGCAACGCAGCAGGCGTTTCAGAACCGCGAAGGAGGCAAAGGAGGTCCGAGAGAAAGCTGAATTAAAGGGCGAGAAGTTGCCGACGGAGAAGGCGTTTGACAGTAACTGTATCACACCGGGTGAGTTTCTATCCAGCTTTTTAGTGCAGCGCCCCTTCCCGCCACGTCGTTCCATCAAGTGACTTTCAACTTTGTACATTCTTTTCAACTCTTCCCTTCTGGATCCCTAAACCCATATCTCGCCCTTTACCCTTTCCCACTGGACACGTAACATCTTCCTTATGCTCGATTTTTTCATATCCACTTTGCATGTCTTTCCCCCCTCTTTCCCCTCACAATCGCCGTCGTCTGCTTTCACCACTCTTCTTGCGCACCAGAAGAGATAAGGCCATTGACACCTGGGTTGCAACTACTTCCACCCTTTCTTCCCCTATCCACATGCCGAACGTTTCTTCCTTCGTCATGTATACTTTATCCACCACTGACAACCTTCATCAGGGACACCATTCATGGCACGTTTATCCGACCAGCTGCGTTATTTCATCAACAAGAAGATTTCAGAGGACTCGAATTGGCGCGACGTCGAAGTGGTGCTTTCGGGGCACGAGGTCCCCGGAGAGGGCGAGCACAAGATCATGGAATACATTCGCCTATCGCGCGCGCAGCCTGGTTACAACCCCAACGTCCGACATTGCCTGTACGGCCTTGATGCCGACTTGATCATGTTGGGCCTATTGAGCCATGATCCCCATTTCTGTTTGCTTCGCGAGGAGGTCAAGTTTGGCCCAGCGTCGCGGAAGAAAGGGAATACGAGGTACTTGATTCACTTTACCCACGTTGGCATGACTAACGGTCTTTCTAATCACATTAGCTTAGAATCAATTAACTTCTATCTACTCCATCTCTCGTTGATGAGAGAGTATCTTGATCTCGAATTCCACGAGATTCAACCGATGTTGCCGTTCGACTATAACCTGGAACGGGTGATTGACGATTTCATCCTTCTCGCTGTCTTTGTTGGAAACGATTTTCTCCCCAATCTTCCCGATCTTCATATACATGAGAATGGGCTCGAGAAGTTGTTTGATGTATATAAGAAGGTATTGCCAGGTTTGGGTAAGTGTCTTCTTGTTCGCTTTTTGCTGCATTTCTAACTGTCGATGTAGATGGTTATATAAACGAGGGAGGAGTGATCAACACGAAGAGGCTGCAGGTCATTTTGGACGAGATGACTCACTGGGAACAGGGGGTGTTTGAGAAGGAGTATTCCGATTTGAACTGGTACAAGGGGAAGCAAGCAAAACATGTCAAAGAGATGGAAGACGGGCGGAAACGGGCGAAGCTAGGTATGGTCTCACTGGGATGTCCTTTGACGCAATCCTGACGTTGGTGACAGTTTTGACTACGGCGCAGAGAGAGATCTTCGATAAGATCAAGGCGTTTGTGATAGAGAACAGGAACGCGCCCTCGCCTTCACATTACCGAGCCGCAAGGCTGACGATGATAAACTCGTTCCCTGCGAGGGAGCGAGTATTCATCACCAAGTTGACGGAGGATCTGCACCTGAGTGTGACATGGGACGAGTATGATGAGGAGGACAGGAATCTGGTGACGTGTCGGTTTCCGAGGGCACTGGAAGATGAGCCCGAGACGGGCGACCAGAAGGAGGACAGTGAGTGGGAAGACGAGGATGAGGATGAAGATGAGGAGAGCAAAGCAGCCGTTGATCGTGTGCTGAAGAAGTATGAGAAGGCGCCTGTTGAGGATGTCGATGCCGATGGGACCTTTGAGGAGCGGCATGAGCGGTCTGTGAAAGAGAAGATGGACGAGTGGAAGCGGGGTTATTATAAGGTTGGGATCCTTTTGTTGTTCTGAAGTGAAGTTTGGGCTGACAAGGCACCATCGCAGGGGAAATTAGGGATATCTTACCACCACCCGACTGAAATGGGTGATCTGATCTACCGATATGTCGAAGGCCTGCAGTGGGTCATGCATTATTACTACAGTGGAGTCGCATCGTGGGGATGGTTCTACAACTATCATTACGCTCCTCGGATTTCAGGTGTGTGTCGTCAGTTTGGATCTTGGATGTTGCTCATGTTGCCAATCACAGATTTGCGGGGAGTTGACGAAATGTCTTTCGATTTTCAGCTGGGAACGCCATTCAAGCCGTACCAGCAGCTTATGGGCGTGTTGCCCGTTGCTAGCATGGATCACATCCCGCTGGCTTATCAGGTAGCTATCTACACTTCGGATATGATGGCTGGCTGACGTTTCTCCGAAGGATCTAATGTATGGTCCAAACTCACCGATCCTCGACTTTTACCCTCTCGAATTCGAGCAAGATCTCAACGGGAAAAAGCAAGATTGGGAGGCAATTGTCAAAATCCCATTCATCGATGAAGAGAGGCTGCTGAAGGCAATGGCTGGTACGCTACTCGCTAAAGTATGGTCTTACGACACTAACGCATATCTTCAATTTCAGCTCGTGATCATCGTCTCACCCCCGAGGAGAGAAAACGAAACACTTGGGGCTCGAGCTCGAAGTTCAGTTTCAACCCCGGCGAGCCCACTCTCTATCCTTCGTCTCTGCCTGGATTCTTCCCCCCTCTCTATCGATGCACGTGTAAGACAGAGCCTTTCGACCTCCCGACCCTTGATGGGTTGCATCTCATTCCTGGTCTTTGCGACGGAGTGTTCCTCGGTACAGAAGCTCTGGCTGGATTCCCATCCCTCAAAACGCTTCCACACACGGCGCTGCTGGGATACCACGGCGTAAACGTCCATGGTTCGGAAAGCCGGAACAAATCGATGGTTGTGCATATACGAAACCCGTATGAGGGGATGAAGACGGAAGAAGTTGCTGGGAAGTTGATTGGCGAACGGACGTTTATGGGCTGGCCGTTCCTGCAGGAAGGATCGGTTGTGGCGGTCTCTGATTCGTTGTTCAAGTACGAGAAGATGACGGTCGTACCTGGGACGCCGGCCAAGGTTATCTCAAACCCACACGCGCCACAAGGATTGGGCCATTGGAAGATGAAGGCCGATCGTATTGAGCAGGTTTACTCTAAACGATCAGGAGTCATTACAGGAACTGTTGACATTCTCCTGCACGTCCTTCCTCTGAAAGGTGAGTATCTTATCTGCCTTTCGATGGAACGTTGCTGACACTCTACGACACGTCAAGGTCTTAAACGATTGGAGTCTGGTGCCTTTGTGAAGGACTATGAGGGCCCAGAGAGGGAAACGGAACATGCGGTGCAGATGTGTCTTCCCGAAGTTGCTTCAGAAGATCCTCGGTTCCTCGAACGCGACGCACCTCCTTTGTCAGAGGAGTTCCCTGAGGGTAGCAAGATTTTCTTCCTGGGGGAACATGCGTATGGGGTGGCTGCTTCGGTCTCTGCTACGACTGAAACCAGCTTGTCTGTGATACTTGCAGTACGTCTTTCACTAATTCTGTATCATAGCGCGCTCTTGAACTCATCACTCTATAGTTCTTCCCGGCCGAAAAGGCTGAGAATGACCAGTTCAAAGCCGTCGTACAGAATCGACGGTCTAGCCACTACTTCCCGTCTTTCAAAGCTGCAGAGATGGTTGGCATCTCGGGGCGGGCTTTGGGGAAGATAACGTCAAGTTTCATGGTCATCACGTCTGATGAACAGAAGACCAATGTCGGCCTGAGTCTCAAATTCGAAGCAAAGGCTTTGAAGGTCGTTGACTATTCTCGGAAAGAGGGCCGGCATTGGGAGTATAGTGAGAGGGCAATCGACCTGATCCGAGAGTACAAGGTCTGTTGCTTTCTACGGACTTTGACCCTTACTGAAGCATGGGATCGATAGGCAAAGTTTCCTGAGATCTTCCTCTCGTTAGATAACAGCGGAGATGGTACGCGTCCGTTATTGTGCGATTGACAAACGATTGACCTTACGTGTTTATAGCAATGGCAAGGGCATCGGATATCCTGTCGGGGCCGGATCCTGATGGCCGTGTTAGGGTGATTAAAGCATGGCTAAAGACGAAGGGTGTTCGAGATTTCGAACCTGTCTCCCTTTTCTGTGACCAACTAGGCAAGGTAAGCTGAATAGTCACTTGACGGCCTTGTAACCCAGTCACCCACACCTTTTCTACCTGCAGGAGACCGTTGGGGAGATCGAGCGAATGGCTGACGAGTTTACGAAGAACAAGTCGTCAGCTCAGTTCAAGAAGGCCATTGTCAAAGGAATCCCTAGACAAGCCGTTCTCAAACCTGCACATACTGCTTATCGTCTTCAGAATCAACGCTTTGCTTTGGGTGACCGTGTTACGATGGTACAAGACTCTGGAAGCGTTCCACTATCAGTCAAAGGTGTTGTCATTGGGCTCAATTCGAAGACTATAGACGTAGTGTGGGATGTTCCGTTCATGTCTGGTATAACGTTAGGAGATCGGTGCGTCATTTCCCCCCTCATAGATGTTTGCTTGATGCTTACGATGCAAATGTAGGTGCTCGCAGTACCGTGGCTCGACAGTCGAATTCAACACTTGCTTGAACTTGTCCGACCCACAATTCGTAACGTCCACCAACCCTAAAGCTCCACCGCCCGTTCGGAATGAGGTTCCCTTTGAACCGAGACATGGTCCCCGACCCGAGATCAACCCCGCGCCTGGCCAGGCTCCAGCGGCTGGATTCCGCCCAGCGCAACCTCCCAGGTGACTCCCTTGCCCTCATCCACAAATCTTCTTAAGCTAACAGAGAGATAGCCACCGACCGCCCATGCACATCATGGCCAACCCCAACCGCGGCCGAGGGGGATACGTCAACGGCCGCGGCAGGCCACCCCCTCAGGCTACTAATGCTAATCCTCCAGAACCTGAATCACCATCAGCGGCACCGACTTCCCAAGCGAATGGCGTGCATGCCCCGCCTGCTCCTGGACGAGGTTACATCCCTAGAGGTGGCAGGGGAGGCTTTGTGCCTGGATTCCGTGGAGGTCGAGGAGGCTTCATTCCCAACGTTGATCGTGGCCGAGGAGGGCGAGGAGGGTTCCGTGGGCGGGGTCGAGGATCGTTTACGGCTCCCCTGCCCTCATAGATCCGCGTTCTCCACCACTGCTATCCGATTTTCGTAGGGTCGAATGTATTTGGGTCGAGTCTTTGTATGTAACTTCCATACTTGCTTGGTGTTTCGGGCTTGTGTAGTTGAACTTGTAACTGCCAGGGGCGACGCTTTGTTTTGTTCCATTTCTTTTGAATTACCGTGAACGGTGACAGCGCTCCACGAACATCTGCCCATATTGAGTTGTAAGGTGCAGGTATAACACCGTTATCGCTGTCAACTTCAGAAAGACGACCTAATTTTCAAGGGGCATGTGAATTTTCATGCCTATTGATTCCGTTCTGATTCCATGACTCCTTTCATTACAATTGCCTTGGCCGTGAATTTGCAGTCCTCTTCAATCTCCTTTGACCTGCCCGTTCACAAGAACTGGCGATCTATGCTCATGAAGGATCCCTCAGTGCGTAGATCGATCTTAAGACTCTTTCAAATGGGTAAGGTGGGACGCAAGGAAAACGCAAGGTATGATGCTTGAAGCTTGACTAGTGACTTCCCACTCATGACAGGGTTCATGTTTCCATGCTCCTTACATAACTGCCCTTTCCCTCAGTGCCACACCTCGTCTCCGTACATCTCTCATGAGAAGCATTGACAAGCAATTTGGACCTCCCGACTTCTAGTCTCAACTATCATGGATCCTCAGCGCCTTCCTCCTCCTCGGGTACCTTCTCCAATTCGTGACCCAGACACAGTAGTGGTGCCTTCAACGCAACCTAGAGCCAATACCACCGGGGAAGATTCAGAAGCTCAGCGACTACAGCTCGCTACCACACCTCCCAAGACACCTCCCCGCAGTACCTCCACCGCACCTTTATCGCCAGGTTCGGTAGAAAAGCAGGAGGAGAACGATCCTTTCGATACCCCGGAGCGGCAGGCCAGTGTTCAACATCATGGAACAGGGATTGACGCGCCGTTGCCTAGTGCCCGTCTTGCAGGGGAATATCAGGGTTTTAGGAGGCCAAGGACGACTGATACACATGTGTCGATGGCTAGGCGGTCAGCGATCGATTGGATAGTTCCCGTGGAGGAGAAGGTTTGCTCGATCATCGTGGTGTTGGTTTAATTGTGTGCTAATTACTTTCTCGAGCCAATCCGCCGACTCTCGGCTCGTGAGCGTCTACAACCGACGCTTGACGTAGCCAAAAAGGAAAAGGACAAGTTTGAGAATAAGGCGAGGATGACCGGTTACGCACTCAACATTGCTATTGGCCTACAAGTTTTGCTTGGTTCGTTGACGACTGGGTTGTCCGCCGTTGCGGTGTCATCAGGAAAGCAGGGGAGTTGTGTTCAGTCAATGCTTATTTCCGATGGCTTATCCTGGTGACTTTTTCAGACTGCGGTTACTACGACTATTCTTGGTACGCCGGACCTTCTTCGATTCTACCCCCATCTACTTACTGAAGATGAATCTATCTTGCAAAGGCGCACTGGCGACTCTGGTAGCTTCCTACCTTGCAAGAGCTCGTGGTTCGAACGAACCTGAACTATCGATAGCTCGAACGAAAGATTTGGAGCAGTTTATACGTCAGTGTGAGGTTTTCCAGATGGATAAGGGGCATGAGATGGGAGATAGGTTCGATACAGAGCTGGCGGGATTGAGGGTGCGTTTTGAGGAGCTTTTAGGGAATACTGGGTGAGGGACGACGAAATTGAATTCGATGTGTTACTGACGTTCATCTTGCTAGGAATTCCGAACGGAAGTTGGCCTCTGTTTAGTGGAGCGGAGAACTTTCGGAAACTTATTTATGGCTATGCTTGACAGATACCCTTATGCCTAGTGCTCTGTTTTATAGGAAGCAATGGTACGAAGCGCGTTGTTGACACTTGTGGTTTTTATCAAGTCTGTCGGTGCCAGGTGGTTCAGATGCTCTGCACATTGCATTACTCAGAATTCATCAACACGACGAACGTTCCTTATAAATTCCGCATGGATCGATTGACTTCGATTGCAAATGCATCCACACGTGGTTCGACGCGTCAGGTCACATGCTGAGATTATTGTCAGCGCTTACAGTGCAAACATATCAAACCCCACGCCTGGCGCCTACCTAAACCTTTGGATGAGATCGGAAGGACAACTCACAGCCCAATGAAATGACGATCTGTCGTCGGGTAAACTTCTCCTTACGTTCCTTGAAATTGATCCCTGCTTACCTCTGCTTACTCAGATATATCGATATAACGTACATCGAATTTGTCTCATACTTCGTCATAACAATTTCAATGGAACCCGATGGAAGCTCAAGTTCATTATAAAAGGCCGCACAAAGGTTTCGAAAATCTATACCTCACCGCTTTCGCCACTTCTAAGCTTTACCCTCAAGAAAACAACCTACCTTTGCTACAATGGTCTTCAAACTCTACGGCGTCGCCTTCTCCACCTGCACCAAACGCGTCGCCATCGTCCTACACGAGAAGAACGTCCCCTTTGAATTCCACCCCATCGACTTTGCGGCTGGTGAACACAAGTCGCCCGAGTTTTTAAAGCACCAGCCGTTCGGCCAAGTTCCCTATATCGTGAGTTTTCTATTCTCATTCATCGTCATCCACGTTCTGATCATGACATGGCTAGGAGGACGACGGCCTCGTCTTGTACGAGAGCAGGGCTATCTGCCGATACATTGCGGAGAAGTACGCGGGTCAGGGTACCCCTCTGATCCCTACGGAACTCAAGGCCAAGGCTATCTTCGAACAGGCCACGTCGGTTGAGAAGGATAACTTTGATGCGTTGGCGTCCAAGGCGGTGTATGAGAAGGTGTTCAAGCCGTAAGCAAGCGCTCTTTGTTTTTTGTATAGTGGATGGATTCTGAGCTTTTGACGTCTAGTATGTATGGGCTTACACCCAACCAAGAGACTTTCGACGAACTCATTGGGAATTTGGACAAGAGGCTCGATGTATACGACCAGATTTTGAGCAAGCAGAAGTACGTGGCTGGCGAGGTTCGTTTCTCCTTTCTTCCTCTTTTGCCGTCTTTACATACTCATGAATAATCACAGGAAATCACCCTCGCTGACCTCTTCCACATTCCTTATGGCGCCATGTTGGCCGCGGCAGGCAGCAACATTCTCGATACCAAGCCCAACGTTGCTAGGTGTGTCGAGTTTTTTTCTATCAAGATTCTGATTTTGATGTTCGACGATTTGTAAATAAGGTGGTGGAAGGACATCACGTCCCGCTCTTCCTGGATCGCCGTCGAGGATGGTGTCAAGTCTACCGGTTAAGGGGTCGCATAGCATGAATAACACCATTGAATGTATTCTACACGTTATAAGATCTCTTACTGTGCTTTCCCAGTTGGCGATGTTGCTGCGTGTTGATCATCACTGCTACTACCATGAGCACGAGCACTACTCAGCAAATGACGACTTTTATCACCAAATCTCTAATTGGTGTGTATGCCATTAGTCTTTAAAGCTTTACGTCGAACCTAACTAACTCATGCCGCAGTTACGTCGCAAAACAAATTGCCCACTCGTACGTTGGCCACGCAAGAAGGACTCCCAGTATGGGCCCGCCCTCTGGCGCGCGCTCCCGATGGCATGGGAGAGGAAATGGGTGTAAGTGACGCATCCTCATGCACAACCTTTGTCTCACGTTTATCAGATCCATGGTCCTGACCCAGAACTGGACCGCATCGAAGAGTGTGGACCATATCTCCTGTGTATCCAACCTCCCAGCCCACGCACCAATAAGTTATATATCATTCGCCTTTACCACCAAGGTACAAGGGAGGTCGTCATCAGTGTCGATCCACCTGTGGCCGTGTACAACGCACTCTATCCCGACTTCGCTTTTCAAAACTTCTTGGGGCTGTGCTGGTGGTCTATCCTTGAGGAAGATACTTTTTTTGTGAAGTATAAGGGCCAGCTTGTTTGTCAGTGGGGTGGCGAGAGTGTAGTCCAACAGTTACCATATGAGCGTGGTCCCGGAGCCGGAGCGGCGTAGAGCTTTCTGTCCCAGGATTGGGTGCACCGCGAAGCGTTCTAGTAATATTATGATATTCAAGGCATACGGCTCTCCCTAGATACAGACCTGAATCTACTAGCGATGTCATTACAGGTATATGTCGGCGAATTATTACATAAACCCCCGTGTTCCCTCTCCGAAGGTGCCAAGCTGGTTGATTGCGATAGTGGCTAACGGACGAGCATACCGAAGGCACCGTCTCCTAGTCACATGTGTAGTGTCCTAAGCATGGATTACGAAGACGAGTGTCGTTGTCGCGATACGCTGTTCACCAATTGCGCGGCGAACTTTTTTGTATCCCCACAATGAAAGCCGCCAATCTAAAACATGAGACAACGTACAGTACTACGTGGATCAACGTCGTAAACCCAGTGTGTCTTCAAATAATCGTTACTAGCGTACTTAGTACCCCTTCAAAGCTTTCACTGCTCTTCTGTCACGCCCCATTGCTTGCACCAGTCCTTCGGTTCTCCTTTCTAACTGGTAACCTCGCCGTTAACTAATATAGACACGAAGTGAGGAGCTGGCTTACGAGGAGTATCGCCCATGTCTATGTTAATCCCCGTCGTCCCTTTGTGGAGACCTCATACCGCCCTATACACGATCACCCCCTTTGCTTCTCGTAGTTCGGGCTGTTATGGCCCTCCTCATTCGCCCTCTCTGAGATGTACATTGCGATGTTGATGCTCTGCGTGCTGAATGATTTGCTGCCCATCGCCGCTGAGAGGTCAGTTAGTCTGACGAGGAATCACAACGAACGATCTGCTACAAGTACCTCACATCGATGTTGCCTCCGGCCGACGTCGGACGGCGTTCTCGCAAGTATGATGTTGATGCTTTGCAGAACAGGCCCGACCGCCATGTCATCAAAGCTGTGAAATGCGACCCGTTAGCTCGTCGTCAAGAAAAGAGCAGTTGAAGCTGTATCAAAGCAAGAGGACGTACGCAGACGTCTTGTTGTAACGCAAATAGCGTTTTGAATTTTGAAGGGTAGGATGAGAGCATCGTGTTCACAGGGAGAGTGAAGGTTTCGAGGTTGGATAAATGGCTCGAGAGGTTTGGAAGATCATGGAGAGGTTGAATCTGTCGTATTTTGTTGTTGAAGTGAACGGTTGGCAGCGCGGTGTCGGGGTACAATGTATGTTGAACATGGAATATGCGTTGGTCGGTTTGCGTGATAGGACAGTGTCAACGCAGTGCATGGGCGGGCTGGAGTTTCAATGGGTTAGTGAACCGCCCTTGGCGTCGGTTCTGGAAGCACAGGTGTCTTAGTACGGGCATGGTTGTTGACGGATTAGCACTCGTACCTGAGATACAACGCCTCTACTCCTTCTGCACGGCCGTGTATATTCCGTTGTTGATCATAAGTCGTGGGGTGTTTAGCTAGGTTCAACATTCCAAACGGGCTTGAAAGTGCATGAAATGTTGGATTCGCGGTAGATTGTTGTCGTTAGGCGACCTGTTGGTGGAGCTGCAGTCCGAAGCGCTGAGAAAGCTCTCAGAGGAGACCCGGATGACAGCATTGTCACTGAGCACGGGCCAGACGACCGCCGCAGGAGTTCGTACGCGCAGGCCAACCGTCCTTCGCATCGGTCCTGGCGGTTGAGGTGTCTTGGACAGGGATCGTCATTCAAATCATGGATGCCCAAGCTTCAACCGCTCACCTGTCACACAGCACAAGATATCAACCGCAGGACGACTAGCCCCTCCTCCGCCATCCAGGAGCACCTATGTTCCATCATTCGTCGTCCCGAACACATGGTTGGAGGTGGAGATATCAGACGCCCGAGTTGAGTTTGAAGGGAGTACAGTATGCAAGGCGAACTGTGGGCTGCATAGTTAGACGACGTACGGTTCGAGTGTGACAAACATAGGGGGTACGTACGTAAACCAACACAAAAACTCCCCCTCCGTTTGTCGTCGATCCCACGAGGAGTGGTTGACGGGCAGCGCATAGATTGCTCGCGTTTAGGCCACCAATTCGTTTGACGGAAAAATGAAGGCGGCGAATTGCTAATTTTCGCGAGATGCGAGGAAGCACGCCAGCATGACGCTAAAGCGACCGAAATCGGACAGCGCCCGTCTCTTCTGCACCGCGACCCGCTTCTGTGCTCAACTTGACTTGTCCCATTTGTCAACGATGGTCTCTTTCTCGACCTCTTTGCGGACCTTTTTCGTACCGGCTCCCCAGGGCATGCCTGAGAGTTTGAGGGGAGTGAGGGTGAGGTGCTTGTAGGGATAGGATTGGCGGGGAAGACCCGTTGTTGGGCCACCGGTGATGGCCTGCGCGGAGGTTAGTGAGCTTCTGAAAACATTCTGAGGAGACATACGCGGTTGTGGTCGATGATCTCCGCGATGACGGCGATCATTCCGGAGAAGGGGCCAGATTTGAGGAGGACGACTGTTGAACGGAGTGAGTAATTGTTACTGGAGAATCTATTTCCACAACGACGTACCTCGCCCAACCTCGACGAAGCGCTTGAAGTTTGATTCCTAATGTAAAAAAACAGCGTCAGCCCAACAATCTTCTGACTACTTTTGAACCCAATCGTCTCCGACAAGGTCAACGTCATCCAACCACATCCAACCCAATCCACCCCTTCCACCACTTTTTCCGTTCTTTCCGGGCATGGAAACCTTTCAAAGGTTTCCTTGCACACTTTGGCAGAGAAACGACACTCACTGTGCTCATATTTTGCTTGAGGGAGGTCGCTGGGTCATGGATGCGTGGATGTGGCTGTGAATTTTCGTAAATGAGGTGAGCCGTTGGTGTACATGTGGCCCGTACTGCCGAGGGTCCAGACGACCGCCATAAAGTCGTGAGTTGAGGTATGCCATGCGAGGTGAACTGTAGAATGCATAATCAGGAGCTCCGAAGAAAGTCGGTGATAGAGGGGACCTGCGAATATTTGTTTCACCTGGGATTGCCAAACAAGCAATTGATGCAATTCCCTCCTACATACGCCAAATCCACCAACTCAAACCATTTACGTGACGTTGGCTTTTCGACACTCAAAGTCATCGTCATTGTGGATATGGACCGGGGAGACGGCACTCCGCAAGGCTGTCAATCTATCTGTTCATGCGAATCGGTGCTGGAGTAGCCTTCCCTCTCATTTTTGTCCAAATCACACCAGCAAGATGTTCTGGCGAACTACGTCACCTTCGCGTACCATCACATCCTACCAACATCCCATCAAAGCCATACAAGCGGTGACCACGCTCGGGAGAGACGTTTCCTCCGGTGCGACATCGCAAGCGATCAGCTTCTGGTTGAGCCTCGAGAGGGCATTGGACGGGATAGAGGCGCGATTGGGGAGCAGGGAGGTGGGGATGATTATGGATGCATTGAGGAATGCAAAGACGTTCTCAGTTATATAGCTGATACCAGGTGCTACGGATCCTCGGTGGGTCTCTCCTTCCCGCAATTTTCAGTGCGGTCAACGCTAACGATGGGAACAGTAAAACCAACTAATGACCATTCAACGACCTCCCCTCCCTCCACCTATCTCGACGAAGTATGCGAACTTTTCAACCCCCACCTAAACAGAAACTCACACTATCCCCCTACCCAATCCGTGAACTCTCCACTCGTCGAAGCAATCTTAAGAGACCTCAACGACGTCCTTCTCCGGATCTTAACATCCCACGGACTAGCATACTCGCCTTACCCAACCTTCGATTGTCTCCTCGCACAAACGACGGGGATATTTGGGACGTGGGATGATCTCATCAAGGAATTCACGAATGTCCTGAGGGAGGCGACCAGGAAGAGGCGTGATAACGTTATTCCGGCGCATTGGAAGCTTGTGGAATGGGTGGAGCAGTTGGCTGTTATGACGGATTTGACGAGGGGGTTGGCCTTGGGGGAGAATAAACAGGAAGAGGCGTACCCCACCCCCAGCTACCTCGATTTCGGTCAAATTGCCCCTCACCCACACCCAGACTTGGATTGAAGAGGAACACGGCTGTTCCGTCTTCGCCTACGAGTGCTTCGTTTTCGCATTTACCTGCCAAGAGGCCTTCGTCCCCTACCAACACGTACTCCGCTTCCACTTTGACCGCCTCCACCTTCAGCTTCGGCACCACCAACAACATTTTTACTCCCTCCTCCTCTATCTCCACCACCCCAAACACATCCTTCGTCTCATCGGTCTTCCCACCCTTCCACGACGCACGCCCTCCCACTATCCCTATCCCTCCCAAACCCAAGTGCTTCCACAAATCCCAACAACGCTAATAGCAACCTACGCACACGACGAATGGAGGCGGTCTGTGGGTGGTTCCCGCAGAATTTGCATTTCGATATGCTCGCTTGTTCGCCTGTTGAGGAGCGAGATGTTTGTCTCCCTGTTGAGGGGCAGGGGGTGGAGGGGGTGAGGAGTCAGGAGGGGGAGCGTAAATGAGGGGAGAGTGATTGAAGGTCAAGGGAACTTGAAGACCCGACTTCGGCCCACTACTAGGGGGAAGAGACGGGATTGGGTATGGGGACGAGTTCCCTTTCAAGTAGTGCGTTCACTGCTGCCTCTCGTGGGGTTTCCTATGGAACGGGTACCCCTAAGTGGTGCATAGCGCTTCTACGAGTCCCAATGATTTGGATATTCGTCGGCTGGGGGTCTGGGGCAGTTGGGAACTCTCAAGGGCACCAAGGGTTAGCGACACGTCATCGACAACAATAGCAGTATTCGCCACATAAGACTTTCCCCCGACACCACTGTTTGCTGCGGTATCAATATCAACCTCACGCTTCGTTCGAGTGCTCCCAGCAAGCTTCATCGCAGTATTGTTTTTCCTCTTGCCAACACCACCAACATCAACGGCCACAAGGGACTTGTTCAAATTCACACCTTCGTCGCCGCTGTGATCGACCTTTGAGTTTCTCCGAGAAGCCAACATGGGTATCGCCACACTTGAGCTGAAGGGACGTTGCCTCGGTATCACCAACAACAGCAGCAACGATGTTTCAGGCAGATGCGGATTCAAGGGCTGCCGCCGCTCCGCGATAAAGTGTGGAATATGCAGCCTGCTGTTGTAGCTCCTCACTCACTCTCCCGGAACGGGAGGTGGAGGTGTTGACTGCTCGTCCGGATGTGTTGACTGCGCGTCGGGAAGTCTTTGCAGCCAGTCCAGCGGTACTTGGAGCTGTAAAGTACGCTTTACCTGTTGTGTTGCACTCCGGTGAAGGGATCTTCGCGAGAGAGTGCTGGGTATCGTGGGCTCTATGCACAAGAGACGCGCGCCGGCTGATCCCAATGGGATGGAATTGATGTCTCGTTGGGAGCTGAGGCGGAGAAGAGAGAAACGAATGTGAAGAGTCTGGTAGAGGCGCGGAAGGCTCCGCGAGAGAAAGAGAAACAGAAAGAGAAAGAAACTGGGAAGAGCACGGGCGCTGCGCGTAAGGGTGCAGAGGCGGGCGGTAGTGGACAATCCACGAGGAAGAGACCGAGACGTGAGCAGCAAGAAAGGGAAGGGAGGGTGATGAAGAGCTGCGCGGGGGGCAGGAACTCGTCTCTGATGCTCAGCCGCAACCCTCCACTGAGGAATCTGCTATTTCCACACTTATTAAAGAAGTCAGGGCTTTGAAGGACAAGTTGAGGAGTAGTGAACAACGCGGGGACGAGGTCGAAGCCATACAAGCAGCGCATGCCGCAGAAGAAGAGATGCTTAAGAACGAGATGCTAGCGAAGGAGAAGAGGGAGAGGGAAGAGCTGGAAGAAACCACAAAGCGACATCTGGGGGAATTTAAGGCCCTGATGGGAAGAGAGCGGTCAAGCAGCAATAGGCTGTCATACAAGAGCAGAAAGTCCTGCAATCCCACTTGATTGATCTTTGCCGTCGCCTTCTCTATCTCGAAACCCGGAACCGTGTTGACAGCATGAGCCCCGATCTCCCTCGTTCGTCACCGAGTTCATCTACTCCTCCCTACAACTCAATTGGGCAGGATTCATCGCGCCCTCTCGCTCATCTGTTCGCCTATGATGCACATTCCAGTCCTGCTTCTCGAAACACGCAGGGCTCACCTATCATCTATGAAGGATGTTTTGATCCCAACATCAGGCACTCCCGCCCCGTCGTATGAAAGGAGCCACTTCTCTCCTCGTCGCCTAAACGGGATGGGCGAATTGGACCACTGCACGCCCTTGCTGATAAAATCTTAGCGGAAACACCAGTTGATGGTGTTCCACTGTAACCGATACAAGTAGAGTAGTAGTACAACATTGTAAATTTATCGTTTATTATCATGTTTCATCCGATTGAATACGCGTTGCTGGCGTGCCTCGTCACTGGTGAACGTTGAATGTTGAACTTCAGGATTTACCACAGAAAGACACTTTCATCATTTACTATCACAAATATCACAAATACTGAAGCACCGTCCACAACCCTCTTCAAAACATTCAAAACCTACTTATGAACGCAATTTGCGTCCGAGCATCCGTTGCCATCTGTGACTACACACTTCCAAGCAGCAAACTATACAAAAAAATCCGTGAGCTTCGTGCACGTGGAGGGGCAAAAAAGGTACTGACACTTGTCATGTCATTCCAGCCATCCCCAGATGGAGTCCACATGGACTCCATCTGGAATCCGTGGGGGAGGGTAAAGTACACCCAAGATTTGCCATGTCATGCATATGCATAAAAAAGGAAATTTGCCTTATTTGGTAAGGTATAGTAAGATTCTTTTCCTCCACTAGGCCCATTTGACTATATAAGAAGATAAGCTGACAAATAATTCTAAATAGAGGCTAGCATCGATTCTACTACTATTATGACCTAAAAAAATGCCATGCCTGGATTTTTATACCCTGCCCGTTTTGTGCTCCCTCCCGTCCCTCAATTCCGATGTTCTCGGGCTCATTTTGTAGCCCCCACTCGTGTTAGGGAGGAGGAGCCCAAGCTGGTAGGCGAGGGCGATTCTATATGGTTTTAGAGTAAGGATAACAATGTTGGTGTTACAAATGTTAGACGAAATGCGCAAAAGGGCTTGCAGGTCGAACGGTATCAATGAAACAGAAATGTGTAATGTGGTTGAACTTTATGTACTTTAATAGGTTGATGGGGAGGAGGAGCCCGAGCCGGTAGGCGAGGGCGACGAAGACGTTGGTTGAAGAGTTTGTAGCGAGACAAAGAACAACAGGTGCTGCTGGGTAGCAACACAACCCTGTTTCGCTTTTATAAGCTCTTCGGGTTCTTTGTTATGCAGGGTTAGGGTTAGGGAGGAGGAGCCCGAGCCGAAGGCGAGGGCGATAAAGACGGGTTTAGGGTTAGGGAGGAGGAGCCCGAGCCGGTAGGCGAGGGCGACGAAGACGTTAGTTGAAGAGGTTTGTAGCGAGACAAAGAACAACAGGTGCTGCTGGGTAGCAACACAACCCTGTTTCGCTTTTATAAGCTCTTCGGGTTCTTTGTTATGCATTCGAACGACGTCATCAAACGATAAGAGTCTATTATAAGATTTTCTTATTGTTCTGATAAGCATCATGCGTCATTCCGACACGGAGATACGTATGGGCGCAGCGCCCATAAGATAAGGAAGATAAGGCAGTCTAGATACGTTCCAGAGCCATCGGCCTTTTCGGGATAAGATAACGGTCTGTCTCCTCGACTTTTATTGGTCTTCTCATCCGGAGATGGGAGAGACCTCCGACCATACATCAGATCCTTTACTAAGATCGATTTCTGAGGATCGATATCCTTTCCGCGCCTATCAGGCGCTTATCTTCATTAGACGCTCTCCGAGCGCCAACGTGTTCGCCACCATGGCGAACGTTACGTAAGCATTCTCATCACCATAACAATTGAATTGTTACAAGATCGTATAGTATACGCTGCATGTTCTACGTACTATTAAGAGAGTAGACGGACCTTATTTTTACCCACCATGCCGGGGGGCGTAAGGTTTTCTATCCATATTAGTCGTTCATTAAGCAGCTTAATGACTTTTGTTCGCCCAATCAACCTATACCTATTGCTGTTGGTAATGCTATAGCATTGCAGGTGACCAGGTACAGACAGGTGACCAGGTACAGGTGACCAGGTGACCAGGTACAGGTGACCAGGTGACCAGGTACAGGTGACCAGGTGACCAGGTGACCAGGTGACCAGGTACAGACAGGTGACCAGGTGACCAGGTACAGGTGACCAGGTGACCAGGTACAGACAGGTGACCAGGTGACCAGGTACAGGTGACCAGGTGACCAGGTACAGACAGGTGACCAGGTGACCAGGTGACCAGGTACAGGTGACTAGGTACAGGTGACCAGGTGACTAGGTACAGGTGACCAGGTGACAGGTGACAGTGGTAACTTGTCACCTGACCACTAGTCACCTGGTCACCTAACACCTAGTCATCTGTACCCTGTCACAGGTTAGGTGACTACATGGCAATTACAGGTAGGTTACAGTCATCCATGTGAATGTTACATAATCACTCAGTGTTATCCCCAGGAGGTATTTTGCTTCTCCTGGTGGAATGAAATGAGCTACTTGAGGAGAGTGAGGGTGAAAATATTAATCTGTCAGAGGAAGAGGGGGATGAGGAGGATGAGGAGGATGATGAGGATGGTTGGGAGGATATTGAGGGCTATGAGAGTGAATGAGATGTTTGCCAGAAAACTGCATTTTCTTTAGATATTTTTCATGTTCAGCATTATTACACCACTTTGAATGTATCAGTTAGACTATTATACAACTATTCTACAAAAGAAAAACTAAGGGAAATGGTCACAACTCATTCTGGAATTGGATCAGTGGCTGTGCAGCACCTATCAATTGTCCTCTGGAGAAGTTTCAACCAGGCTAGGTTGAAATTCATGGTGACATACTTAGAGATCCTGCAGACAAAAATCAACCAATCCAAGGTTGATTTTGCTGGTTGGTGATCAACCTGAAATTCAGGTTGAAAAAAATCAACCTAAATTTCATCCATCCTTAGGTTGAAAGGGGAAAATCAACCTAATGTTTGTTGATTTACAACCAAAGCTGCCTTCACAGTGCATGTATGACACCATTGATAACAAAGGTGGACACTGTGGGAAACCGATGCACCCTGGCCGACTCCATGGAGAATCTATCTCTGAATGTCAGAGACGACCAAGAACTTAGTCTACCTTCCAGGGATAGTACTACTAGCAGAGTTACAACAACTAGGCCCGCTTACTCCTTCAGCAGGACGGACCCAACCAAAAAGTTGGAGGCCTGCAAGATAGCACCAGCGGTAACAGTAACTCGACCTCAATCATCCTCACCAACAAAGAAGATAGTAAGGCCCCCCACAAAATCAGCCAGTCAAGAATTAACCTCACGTTCCCACCAAAAAGCCCATGTCGACGCGATCAATAAGGCATCACAGTTCCATTCTGAAACTTCGCTCACACCACATAGCATTGACACTTTCAATAACACACCCAACTCTCCCATCCACGCTCTTAACTTTTTGGCAGCTCAAAAGCAATCACCAGCTATGACATCGTCATCCAACGTCCACGCCACAGGCGAATTCCAACCAAAATCAACTCCACCAGCCTCTACCCGTTACCCGATCAGCACGATCATGGAATCGGACATGGAATCAATAGCAAGCCACAGGTTAGGGATGGAAGATGGATTCAAAAACTCCCTGATGGCGAGATTACTATGAGAATACAGTGCCCAGGACGAGGAAGGGAATACCGTCTCCACTGAGACAAAGGTCAACTTAATCATTGAAGTAGAAGAACTTGGACTGGAAATGATCGTAGATAGAGGACCAGAGAGACCCCCCATGCTTCCCCGTTACCATTTGACCAAGAAAGACCTAGATAGAGCGCAAAGTGCCATGACCGAATTGCAACTCTTTTTGGAACAAGCTGCCAGACTCATTGAGGAACAACAGAAGCATTACTTAGTGGATCCAGGGGATACGCTGTTGCCCATAGTGTTTACAGGTCTGGTCCATAGGACCAAAAAAAAAACGTGGACCGGACTGAACCAGACCATGGTCTGGTCTTTTTTTGGTTGCAGTTTCCCAAATTTGGGGTTGGTCCGGTTGACAGTTGCCTCATTTCAAAAATCTTTTAAAGCCATTCAAAGACCAGTTTAAATCAGTTACAACTGGTTAAACGGTCACATGTGTTACATAGCCTTGTAACCACCTTTTTTACATTTAATTGGGTTTTTGGTTCATCAAAAATGGTTAAAAACTGAGGAAGATATAACCAAATCCATTTTGGCACAAATACTTGTTTGTGCAACTTGTACCAGAATGACTTTAATTCTAACTCACTCAAACTTTCATCATTTTGCTTGATTCAATTTTTGGATATTCACAGTTTGACTATGAAATGTTTCAGTCATAGCTATGTCAAACCTTCATTAAAGTTATTGAAAATTGGTGGAATGATGGGTATTTATATGTTTTACTATGATATATAACCAGTTTATTTTTGAGAGTAATAATAATTGAGATACAAATGGTTTATATTGCTATGACAAATTTTATGCAAAAAGACCGGTCTGAATCGGTCTGAACATGGTCCATGGACCACAAAAGTCCGGTCCTAGGTGGTCCGGTTCGGTTCCCTCAATATCTGGGTTGGTTCTGGACCGGTTGCGGTCCACGGTTGCGCGTTTTCAGGGCAAAAAACCGGACTGAACCGGACCTGTGAACACTAGTTGCCCATCCTCACAGGGACATGAAGTCTCAGTCAGATGAATGTTGCATGGAAGGCTTTGAGAAAGCATGGAGGAAGTACATCGAGCAAAAGCCAATCCATCTGGATGGGCATGGATACCCCGTTCAAGAGTGGGAACTCGTGGTTCGTAGAACCTGGTAAAAGCAACCAATTGCACCAAGAGGGGACCAGCAACCAGCAAATGCTCACTCAGGATGTCCTTCTGGGGATAGCCACTCCTCAGCCAACTTCACTACCAGCAGAGGTATTGGACTGGAAAGGCCGAGAGACTCCACCACATATGACTTCATCCACCAGACAAACTGGAGCTGCAAGAGAGTCAGTGAACGCACCATGAGAGGGAGCCAAGGACTCACAGGAACGAGGACGACACATTGGAAGAGCACCTCCTGACGATGGTGACGACGACGGCCCTTCCTCCCGCACCTGTAGTTCCAGTCAAAGCAGGAGACGAGGACGTAGATCGCACACTCCATGACCCACACATCGCCGATCATCTACTCCACGCCCTAGACCATCGCATCACAACACAGATGATGATGATGGAGGAGGAGGCAGCAGTGACGGTGGCTCCAGCGGTGGCCCTTCATGGAGAAGCCACTCTTCCCAGTCAAGTTCATCTTCATCGAAGAGTTTGAAGAGTTGAAAGTCAAAGAAGCAGCACAGGAAGGAACATGATGATGTAATCATCCCCTATGGGACAATCCCCCCTACTATAAAATCAGAATTAAAACAGGAAGACCTTCTTGGGACAGAAACCCTAAGACTGCTATAACCTACTTTTAGAAAGTACAGGAAAGAGCTTCATTAGGAGAGTACATACCAGCAGCCTTAGGCTATTGGCTCTGGTTGAGATTGGAGGAAGGATCAGATGTACAGGGATGGTTCTCTACTCTACCTCCGCTCGAGCAAGCTAAGATGAGAGGTCATTGGATTGATTACTTAAGAGGCATTCGAGAAGGATACCTCGGCAGACAATGGCAATTCGACATACGAGAGGAATACAAAGGACAATACTTCCATGAGCCTGGTCATGAAAATGAACTACCCAAGACTTTCATCGCTCATCAAATAATGTACACTAGAATGTTAGCTAGAATGTTAGCAAAGTCTGATGACGGGGGACCCTTGGAAGTTCATCTTGTCATGGCCCGAGCACCTTTGACTTGGAGAACTATCTTGGTTCTCGAGAACATTAAATCTACATCATTGCTCTATACGAAAGCATCTGAGCACCAGGAGTCTTTGCTAGTGGTATCTAGTGTTCGCAGGTCCAGTTAAGTCCAGTTTTTTACCTCAAAACGACGCAACTGGCAACCGCAACCGGTCTAGACCGATCCAGATATTAAGGGACCGCAACCGGACCCTTTTAGACCGGTCCTAATCGGTCCACAACGCAAAAAAAACCGGTCCAGACCGGTTGCGACCGGTCATTTGTTATAAAGTTTATTGTACTACATAAATTAAATATTACCTCACGTACATAGCATACGTAGATAGATATTCTAATTCTCCGTAGACTGATCAAAAATTTAAGCAATTCTGTGAAGATTTGACTGAGTTATGGCAAAGACGGAAAAGATATACATTCAACTTGACTTGCGTATAAAAATGTTTTTGGCCATATCTCAACCAATTCTTGACCGTTTTTGATGATTGAGGGACCGAAAATTGAGTAAAAATGTGTGCGAGTAAGGTCCAACATGTGATGGGATGAAAGACCGGTTGCAACGGGTCTAAACCGGTCTTTTTCGGTTTTTAAATATTTACAAAAACATGGCAACTGGCAACTGGACTGACCACAAATGTGGGCAACTGGCAACTGGAAAAGACCGGACCATGGTTCAGTCCAGTTCAGTCCTATGTATATTTTCAGTCCTGTAGACTGGACCTGCGAACACTAGCAGTTTCTAAGTCAAGAGCATCTACAACTATCACAACAGAGAACTTGGCCACAAATTTGCAGAGACTGGGCTACTCCTCCCAGAGCGCTAAACCCAACTTTCATCCCAACTTCCCGATGGATAGGAGAGTGAACCTGACATCTGGAGAGCCAGAAGTATCAGTGGACCCTGTGTCTGAGCCTAAGGAAATCCACCACTCGTCCAAATGCCAGAGCTCGTTGACAGAAGTACACAACACGAGCAGGATAGAGGAGCAGATATTAGCCGAAGTATACCAGGTGATGCAATGGCAGCAGAGAGCGCCTCCCCCAGGAGGGTACATGTTCAGCAAGAATGATCATGTAATGACTAAAATGGGTAAACTCCCTCCATCACCTTGCAAATGTTGCGGTAGCAAAAATCACTGGGCTTTCATATGAAAATCGCAATGAAATATCCTGGGGTTGAGCATGAAATATATATTGAAAGCGCCAGGTATCCATATGAAAATCACAATGAGATATCCTAGAACAATGAGATATGCGATCTCATTGAACCTCTAGGCATTATACACATCACCCTCCAGGCATATGTCTGGTTTTTATCATAAAAGTGTATACCACCCATCTTGCTTCGATGCAGGTGGATGAGTCAAAAGTCCAGCAGGGTTTTGATATGGCAACCCACTATGACCAAGCGACCGTCATAGCGAGTGGGTGTAAGTCTGAGACAAAGGCAATAACCACCTGTAAAGTCACAGTAGAGGAAGTGGCAAATGAGTTCTGGGAAGAGGAGAGAAGCTCACGGACAATCCACCGTCCAAAAGTTGGACCGACGTTACCATGCCATTCCCACCTTTGGGCGCTCCACAATCTGTAGGTTTTCTGACAATGCCTCTGCTATGAAGAAGCTGGCTGCCCGAAATTATGAGGATCTTCTCCAGGTTTGTCTTCCTAAATGCTTATGGCTCTTTATTATTCTAACGTGACTGTGTTGCCAGTGTGCTATCCCTGTTTTCGAAGGGCTACTTCCTGAACCGTATAATACAGCAATTCTTGACCTTCTCTTTACATGTGCTGAGTGGCACGCTTTAGCCAAACTCCGCCTTCACACAGAGACGACATTGGGATGGCTTGAGCAGTCTACCACTGACCCCAGACAACAACTACGACGATTTGTGACACACACCTGCCCTGCATTCGCCACCAAGGAACTCCCTAAGGAACAGGCTGCTCGAGGATGGCGGAAAGCCAAGAAGGCTGCTGAAGCAGCTAAGACAACCGTTGTCGAGGTGGAGGGTACATCGTGTTCATGGTCGAGGCCATGGAAGAGGTGTGGCTGTGGCCGGTCATGGGCGAGGTGGTCGCACTCGAGCTGGTTGTGGAACTGGTGCTGCTGGTTGGGGAACAGGTGCCACTGGTTGGGGAATGGGTGCCGCTGGTTGGGGAATGGGTGTCGCTGGTTGGGGAACAGGTGTCACTGGTCAGGGAACAGGTGCTGCTGGTCGGGGCAGGGGTAGAGGAATGGAAGGAGCAGCATCATCAGCAAAAGAAACAAGGAAGCGCCACCACTACATCGAAAGCTCCTGAATCTATGCACATACAAGTTTCATGCCCTCGGTGATTATGTGGTGGTTTGGAACAACGGACTCTTACTCTACTCAACTGGTTCGTTTAAAAGCAATTTCTTTTGAAATAGTTTACTAATGGTTATAACAGGGTGAGCTTGAGCACCATTGCGTGAAACGTTTCTATGCCCGCACGAGTAAAAATCGTGCAGTTCATCAAATGACATGACTCGAGAGGAGAGAACAAGCATTGATTCGCCTCGCCAGGAAACAGAAAGCAGGTAAGGCCAAGGAAGTATCTTCGTTGCCTTCAACATCTTTCAAAAAGAAGCTCACTCCAACTGTTGATTTCATGGAGTCTGAATCCCTTCCTTACACAGGACCAGACTGTCACCATCATATCTCCCCATCGCATAACTTTCCTCTGAACATTATGGAGTTCATCAACTCCAATCATGAGGACCCTGCACTTTTGGTGAGTTCTTGTTTCATGACATGCTGTTTAGTGATAACCAATTGAAACAGGATTTTCGTACAA